TTTTCAAAATAAAAAACTAAAAAGAATTTCCACATTATTATTATTTTTGCTTTGTAACAGAAGACATTCCAGGCTTCAGCTCATTAATATTATTTCGTCTTTGTTCTCCTGAGGAATCAAAGATTCTCACTTATGATATTTCAAAAGGCACCTTAAGAAACATATTCAAACTTTGCTGTCTCTTCATTTAAGTTTGGCTTTAATACTTTATTAAAAATTCTTGAGTGTGTAAATATTGAAACACTGAACTTGCTACTGACACAAGAATGACAATGCACTAACAACAAAATCAAAGTAGAGGCTAAACTATTTAGAAGTAATAGCAACTCCATAATTCGAAGAAAATTCAAACAGGCAATTTTTTAGTGTTTCTTAAGGGAGGCGCAGAGCAGCCTTTCAGCCTCCAGTGACGCTTCCGCGCCGGCAGATGGCGCAGCAAAGCTTCTCAGGTGCAGTGGGAAGTTCAGTCACCAATGGCTGTTTTGTGATCTCTAATTAGCTTGAACTGATGAGTTCATATTAGAATTTATTTTATTAATTATTTCTACTACTTGTTGCAGTTACTCTTATACTACTTACTAACTGGCACAGGAGTGTTTTAATGAGTTGCTTGAGCCGTACCAGAGCAAGCCTGCTAAATGTCCGCGCTGTTTCCATTACCACAGAAGCCACCCAGCTACTGCCGGGAGTATTCCAGGCACCGGGACTCAGTACCACTCCCGCCTTTCTCCAAGCCTTGTTCCATCACAAATTCACACCTTCCTGCATTTTCAAACTTTCCTCCTCCACTTGATCCTTCTTCCTAACAGTGTGTTTAAAAGCTACGAACTCTCCAAACAAAAAAATTTTCCTTAAATCTACATACTCTGCTCCTTCCGTTTCTCTTCCGTTGCAGTCACAGGCAAACTTCTTGAAAATTACATCTTCACCTCCACCGCCTCTACTTCCTTCTTCTAAATTATTCCTTAGTCCTCTGATCTCATCTCTCTAACAGAACTACTGCCACCAAGATCACCCAGGCCTCCCCCGCTGCCAGTGGATACTCAGTATGCTCCATGTCATCACCCTCAGTAGCACCCACACTACACCCTTCCTTCTTCCCTGCCTCGGCCCCATCACGCCACCCTTTACTAGGTTCTTCCTGTCTGGCTGGCTCCTCTTTCTCTGCCCTCCTTTTTGTATGGTCTGCACTTCTTCCTCAGCCTCCTCTCCTCATACCACACTCTGTAGATGGTCTCAGTAATTCTCCTGCCACCTATATGTTGATGATGCCCAAATCTCTGTCTCCAGCCACGACCTCTCTTTCCCCAAGCTCCACTTGCATAAACTGAGTCTCAGGAAATGGCCCCAAGACCAACCAGGATGCCAAGTCAGAAACATGATGCACACTCCTGACTTATCCCTCTCCCTTCTCCACACAGCACACAGCAAAACAATCCCAAGACCTGTCAATTCTACCTCCTAAACATCCCATAAAACTATCTATTTCTCTTCTTTCCATCTGCCACTACCTTAATTCTGGTTTCCATATTCTTCCCCTGGGATGGCTGCAAACGCCTCTGATCTCTCTCCTTTCCAAACCAGTCTCCACACTGCAACCACAGTGATTGAAGGCACAGTTCTCTTTCAGCCTGCAGTGATGAGCCGCGCCGGCAGATGGCGCAGCAAAGCTTCTCAGGTGCGGTGGGAAGTCAGTTTCAGTCAAGCTTAATGTTCTTCAGCATTCCTCTGAGTAAAGCCTACATCTTTTTTTTTTTTTTTTTTTTTTTTTTAAAGATGACCGGCAAGGGGATCTCAACCCTTGGCTTGGTGTTGTCAGCACCACGCTCAGCCAGTGAGAAAACCGGCCATCCCTATATAGGATCCGAACCCGGGGTCTTGGTGTTATCAGCACCGCACTCTACCGAGTGAGCCACGGGCCTAAAGCCTACATCTTTAATATGGCTGACAAGGCCCAGCAAGAACTTCACCTCTCCAGCTTCACCTTTCCCCAATTCTCCCTTGTACCCTCTGCTCCTAATATGCCGATCAACTTAGTCTTCTCGAGTTGTCATGTTCCTCGACCTTTGCTGTCCCCTCTGCCTGGAATGCCCTTCCCTCTCTGTCTGGCTAATTCCTGCCGCCTTTAGGCCTCAGTTTAGACCTCTGGGAAGCTTCCTTTGACTTACCAAGATTGACTTCACCATCCCTATTGGGTTCCCATAGCAATTCTTCAGCATGGACTACTGATTTTTTTTTTTGTTTGGGGTTTTTTTTTTTTGCAATCTTGTATAACCTGCTATACAAACATAGCTGCCAGCTCTATCCCCCACTCCTTCCTGATCAGTATTCCAAGGCCCCTCCTATATGGGGCATGGGATCCTATACCACCCTTGTCACAGCACTTATCACACTTTTTTGTAATTGTCTATTTGTTTCCATTTTCCAATAAATTGTGAGCTTCACAAAGGACCATTTCTATACCACTTAGCAGTGACTGGCAGATAGTAACTGCTCGACAAATGTTCAGTGGGTGAATGAATCCTTGAGATGATTATAGTATAGTACTATCCACTTTACTTAGTTATGACAGTTCAATGAATACATGTAAGGTAATTTTCTAATTTACATACTGCTATAAAGTTATTGTATTATATTATTAGTGTCCGGCTGTTCTACTCCTTGAGGGTAGGGTTTATGCCCCCTTTTTCAGTTTTTTTTTTTTTTTTGGGTCCCAGAACTCAGCATGTCTGGCAAATACTGTTTTCAACCAATTTTTGTTGATTATAAGAAATTAAGAAACAGGGATCCAGATAATTGACCTTCCTGTTCCAGAGCCAGGACTAAGACCCACTCTGGAAAAAAGGAAGCTTGAAAGGAAGCTGATGTCTAAATGAGGTTCCAGCATGGATGAGAGAAGCACTGGTTTCTCTCCGTCAGGAAATTGGCCAGCTGTGGGAACTGCCAGAGTCCCAGACCTCCATGGTCAGGTACCCTCATAGCAGACATGACCCAGGCAACAGAGGTGTGAGGACAGGGATCCTAGGTATTTCAGCATGGGAGGGGGACTGGACCCCGGTTTCCTTTGTCCTTTTAAACAGTTTCAACCTCAATCTCTGGCACGAGTATTGGGGTATTATTTATCTTTCTCCTCCCTGATGTTTGTCCCTAAAATAGTTCTTTTTCAGGTGTTACTTTTCCCAACGGGAATGAGCGAGTCACTGACAGGGACCTGGGGTCATTTACAGTCTAGTCCCTTGGGGGTATTAAGAGTTGCTACCCTCCTCCTCAGCTGCCCATCCAGGTCCTGGTCTCCACTCTTCATCTCCAACCCAAGATACTCCCAAATGACCCTGGTGAAACTCATGAGCTAGCAAAAGAAAAAGACAAGCAGCAGCACAGAGGGGGCAGGGGTACAAATAAAATTCTGATTTGCTCCCTTTTCACCACTTTCAAAGAAATGAATCCAATGTCCCCACCCACCTCCAGCAGCAGAGAAGTCTCCTAAGCATCTCTGAACATCATAAATCCTCAAAGGAAGCTCAGCTGGGAACCCCTTTCCTCCATCAGGAGATCCATCCAGGAGGCTAAAGATTTCCAGATGGAAGACAGGTGGATTTTTTTCTCAAATGGGATTTTTTTTTTTTCTCTCTCTCTTTTCCAGAACATGTTGGGCAACCTTCAAGCACATTCACATTCCGTATTTCAACTTTGCACCGGAGTGCAAATTCCAGGATTTATGTCCCTACTGGGACCAATGGAGAGGGTGAGCTCGACAGAACATGTGGCCTGAACACCTCAGCCTCTTCTAAATATGGTTTCCTTTGCCTCTTAGTTGACAGGGTCTCTGCTGGCATTACAGAACTGCCTACTGACCCAGAAACTGAATGGGATGCTTTAGAGGGGAGGGAAGGAATCTGGCACTTTATCTTGTCCTCACCTCTACAAATCGTCAACCTGTCAGACTATCCTTTTTGCTACCATCTAATCCAGACAATACTACGGCAGTTTAAACAAAGCCCATTCTCCCATTTCTCCAAGAATTAAATGAGTCTAGCTGCTTGCTTAACAAGGGAGAAGTACAGCAAAACCTAAGGTGCCCTGACTCACAAGAGAGCTGATCTCTGCTGAAATGCAAAGGACACCCTAAGATGTCTCTGGCCACCTGCTAACTTCTAGCTTAGACCCTGCACCTTTGCTCCATCCCCAAACCAGAGTAAACAGGGTTCAGGAGGCTGGTTCTGTGCACCCCCATGTGTATCTCATACACGCTCAGCTGCTGGGCCTTTAAATAACAAAAATTCACACTATACTTAAAGGGCTGTTCTGCTCAAATCATAAATGTGCATGCTAGTTGTTTGCCAGTAATTCAGACTGTACTCATACACATTTAACCATTTTCACAAGCATTTTGTCTTACCTGAAAATTTCTATCAAAAGAAAGTTTTAGAATTATACTACATGAGCCCCCAGGATTTGGAGGACATTATACACCCATCTTAATCCAAAAACTTGGATGCCTAAGGATGGGGTCTTGATGGTAGCCCGGCTGAAAATTTAGGTCAGGCCTAGCTTAGTGCTTAGCATGGGTCCAGACACAAAGTAGACGCTCAATAAATATTTGCGGAATTTGAATAATTCCTGTAAAAATCTCACTTGGAGACATCAGCTTGTGACACTTTCTCTTCCTGCTCCTTCTCCCAGAAGCTCTTGGTATAACCCAGGTCTGGCAGAAGGGGGCGCACTGTGCTGCTGCGCAAATCAGAGGGAATGGCGCAAACTCCAAAGGGGCTGGGATTTAGACCTCCCCTCCCCATGTTGATAATGGAATTCCTAAGTTGCAGAGTGGGACAGCAGGCAGAGGAAGCAGGTTTCAGGGCCTAAGAACCCACTGAAGTAACTTCTAAGAGAACTTTCCTTTGCAAAAAGACTGCATGAAAAAAGAAGGAAGAGGAGAGAAGCCTCCCACAGCTGTCAGCCTGAAACAGCTGCTCTCACCTCATTTCATCTGGGGAAGGGGCTACAAAGCAGACAATCTTTATTCACAACCGGGTGGCAGAGGGAAGATACCCCCAGGTCAGTCCAGAAGCAAAGATATTGGGTGGGGAAGATGGCACCAGGTGGGGATTCAGCACTCATCCTCACCCAGCAGGGCGTAAGGGTTTCGGGCAGCCAGGCTGGACCCTGGAGCTGAGGTTGGGGTGTCCTCATCCCCTTCTCCCTCCTCATCCGCATCTCGGTCCTCCTCTCCTTCTTCCTCACAGGAGCTGCTCAGCTCTTCCTCTTCCTCCTCTTCCTCATCTCCTGCCGGCCCCACTCTGCCCTGCAAAACCACCAGCTCCATGGTATCTGGATGAGACTCCCAGGTGCCTGGGGAACCAAAACAAGAAAAAGAATGGAGGAGAGTTTTAAGCAAGGAACTAGAGCCAGAGAAGGATGGGGAAGAGGCAAGACTAGGAATAACAATAATTTTTGTAGCTGCTGACATTCATTCATTCAACCTCCATGTGCAGAGTGCTGAATAGAAACTTTGTAACACATCCATTTCAGTCTTCACAACCACCTTGCTAGGTAGGGGTCAATTATTACCCTCACTTCGCAGATCAGGAAACCATATCAGAGGTGTTAAATAATGCAGAGCTGGCTAATAGGTGCAGAATCCAGGTTGACCCTCGCTCAGTCTGGCAACGAAGCCCACACCCTTTTGCCTACACTATGGCAGGGGTTGGGTAAGACTATGTGGGCTCTGACCTTTCTGTTCACTGTAGCCTGGGGGATGAAAACACAGGCTGAGGCGGCCATCCACTGCCAGCCGCAGGAGACTGTTGGCTGCTCTGTACACATCGTTCCGAGCCGCCTTAGCTGTCTTGTAACCACGTTTCTCTGCCCAGGCTGGAGGGAGAAAAGAATAATGGGAAGGGAAGCCTGTTAACCAGGTACCAGTCACCCCACCCCCACTCCCATAACACAGTCCTTCCAGTTTCCCCAAAACATCCCAGGCCAGAGATCTTGCTGGCCCTGTAACAGAAATCTTGGGGTGAGTGGACAGCTGCTTCATCAATGGCAGAATCTGAGGAGAGGAACAGAAACAGGGCAGGGTAAAGGGTGAGGCCAGAGGCTGGCAAGTAAGGGAGGGCAGCTGAAACCAGGTGGGGAGGAGAAGCCAGGCACATGGAACTCACCTTCACAGATGTCCCAGGCACACCAGGGGTGTTCTGCTGAGGGGTCCTCAGACTCTGGGTGGCGCAGGTGAAGCAGGGCCTGCACAGGGATGCGGGAGGCCAGGTAGCCCACAGAGGTGTAGGGCTCCTGGATTTGGGCGATGGGGTAGATCCCTGCCAGAACCTAAGGGGAAATGAGCACTTAGCACCTTTCTCAATGTCCTACCTTCTCTTCCTCCCCTGTTCCCTCTGCCCTCATACCTGTAACTGCCTGGGCAGAAGAGAGGGGAAGATGAGGCCTGGGCAGTCACAGAGCTTCACGGAGGGGGTGAGAAAGTAGGTCTGAAAGTATCGGGTGTGGCCTGGGGTTCTGGAAACACTCACAACCTTCCGCCCCACCAGCCCGTTGATCAGTGAGGACTTTCCCACATTGGGGAAACCTGAGGAAGGCAAGGAAAAATAACATTTGACAGATCTTCACTCTGTGATGGGCTAGACTCAGTGTCATAGCTACAGATGAAAGGGGAACTAAGGCTCAGAAATTAAGGAAGCGGTATAACATTGCAAATTACAAATCAGGCTCTGGACTGCAAGAATTGAATCCTGGCCTCTCCACTTACCAGCTTTGTGACCTCAAGGCAATTTACCTAACTTTCTGAGCCTCTGTTTCCTCATTTTATAGCACAGATACCTTCTACCTCAGAGTGGTCACGATTAAATGAGATAACAAATACAACTGCGTGGGTCAGTGCCTGCAGTAGAGTGCCCAATACGAGTGATACGCATCTCATGCTAACTATCATGACTTGTCCAAGGAGAAGACTAGATGCCCTTGTCACTCTCTTCATGACCACCACGACTTCATTCTGGCCGACTTTAACACCTGCACAGATCTCCTGGCCAGGACTCAGTACTCTCAGTGCCTGCATCTCACTTCCAAAGATGGTTGCCTTCACCCCAAGCTACCCACTCCTGTGGCCATACCCTGGACCCTGTCACTTCACCCTCCAAAATCTCAACTTCAAGCACCTCTCTCTGCCCTGACATCCCATCTTTTCAGCTCATTTACTCTGGCTCCTCCATTCCAAATCATTCTTCAACCCTGACCCTAGCACAGTAACACTGTGCAATACCCGGCTCATATCCTCACTTCCCTTCTTACCCAACTCAAGATTCCATGATCCAGCTCGACAGCCAGTCCCATCCATAGACCTTGAACTCCCTGGTCCTGCCTCTCCCCTCCATCTTACTCACCTGGCAAAACCCCAACCCTGTAAAATGCACCTCTCTGCCCATCCAGCACCTCTTCCTGGGCAGCTAGCTGACTGTGGCTGAGAAAAGATGTACCACCGTGCTGACCACACTCCTTTACAACACACGAAGCATTTCCTTTCAAAAGGGGGAAGGGAGGAAGGGAGGAAGGGAGGAAGCAATTACCCTTTGACACCCCCCAACGAGCCCCATTTCTCTGTCCCCTTTATAGTAAAATTCCTTAAAAGACTTATTTATTTTTTGTCACCAGGTCTTCATATCATTTTCTTCGTGACTATGAACTGTAACATACACAAAAATGCACAGAACATAAATATGCAACCTAATAAACCCCACACCACCCAGCCCTGGGCCCGGGGTGTGTCACACGTCCTCAGAGGCCCCATCTATCCCTCTTGATCACAGCGCTCTCCCTCCGCACATGTCAGCCTTACCTTGACTTTAAGGAACTCCACTCCTTCTGTTTCTTTTTAGTTTATCTGCGTATCTCTGAACAAAGCAGTTTAATTCCTCAGCTCTTGAACTTTATGCAAATGGAATTGTGCAGCACGGACGCTGGCTCCTTTTGCACAGTGTCATGTGAGGTTCCCCACATTGTTGCCTATTCTCTCGTGGGTCTATCCCAATCTGGCTCTTTCTCCCCACTCCACTGGAACCACTGGTCTTCACATTGCCAAGGCTGCTAAGCAAGTCTGTTCTCCTCTCACTTGACCTGGCAGCGACACTGACACAGCTGATCCCTCCTTTCCTCTTCAAACACCTTTTCATTTGACTTCTGGGATACTCCCTTGGTTTTCCTCCTTCTTACTCTCCTTTGCCCAACTTCTAAATGCTGGCTTGCCCCATGGCTCAGTCCTTGGCCTCTTCTTCACCTACCTGCTCCTCTCATCCGATCCCATGGCTTTAAATACTATTTATATCCATCAGTGGCTCCCCAAATTTCAATCCCTCCCAAATCCAAGTCTCCAGTCCTCTTCTCTCCCCTAAGCTACATATTACCTATACCCACTGCCTATTCGACACATCCACTAGGAATATTTAAAAAGAATCTCAAATTTAGTTTCTGATTACCCTCCCCGCCCCAACCCCTCCAAATCTGCTCCTCTCCCAGTCCTCTTATCTCAGTATTCCCAGTTACTCAGGACAAAACCTGGAAGTCCTTCTCTATTCCTCACTTTTTCTTATGTGCCAAGTGCAAGCCACCACCAACATCATTTTCTCTACCTTCAAAATATATCCTGTTTCTGACCCTTCTCAGCACCTCCACCTGTACCACCCTACTCTAAGCAATTCTTATTTCTCCAATAGGCTAGTGGAATAGCCTCTGACTGCTCTCTCTGCTTCCTTTCTTGCTCACCCTCACCATTTATTCACCACTCAGTAGGTAAAGTTCCAAAAAAAGAAATCAGATCCTGTCATTCCCCTGCTCAAAACCTACGACTGGCTTCTCATGATATTAATAAAATCCTAAATGCCTGTCATAGGAAGGGGACCCTACATGTGTGTCCCTGGCGACCTTCCTGACCTCATCCCCCATACTCTTTCCTGGTTTCCATACTCCACTCCCCCAGGCACTCTTGCTGATTCCAGGTCACCAAGCTCATTCCCATCTCAAGACCCTTTCACTCACTGATCCCTGCCTTGCCAGACCCTTTCCCCATAGCTCCAAACAGCTCACTTTATTTCACTGTCCAGTTCTCTCCTAAGGGAGGTTTTCCCTGAGGACCCCTCCCTCCTAGTCACTCTCTATCCCCTTTCATTGCTTGATTTCCTTCATTTCCCCTAAATAATATGATTTCAGATCACAAATCTAGTTACTCACCAAAAAACAAGCTGTGAGTGTAGGGACCTTTCTGCCATTTTCACAGCAGCAAATCCCATCCCTAGAACAGCACTTGGCAACTAGTAGGTGTTCAGTAAGTATTTGTGGCATGGATAAATGAAAGAGAGCTGCAGGGAAATCCAAACTCAGGGCTGCCTGTGCCACAGCAAACACTCTCCCTAACACAGCACTCCAACAGAGATAAGTTAGTACAGAGGCTGCTGAGAGCAGAAACACAGGCCCTCTGTGAGGGATAGCCTAGGATCAATACTCAGGGGAGTGAAATGGCTGGAAAGAGGAACAATCACTCAGCAGTAAAATAGGTTTTTCCCAAGACAAAAAGGACACTGAAAGATAAGTTAGAGGCGCTTCCAAGGAGCCCAACTATCTACCCCATGCTCTTCAATTTCTTCTGGGCTGGGCCCTTTTTGTTTCCAATATCATCTCAGATACCACAATTTTGCCAAGGTCTCTTCTCACCTCTCCCATTCAAAATGAAAAGGGACCCTGGGACTGGCTAATAACACAAAGATCCAGGGTTTGATCCCTGTACTGGCCAGCCACCAAAAAAAAAAAAAAAAAAGTAAAGAAAAAAATAATAAAGTAAAGGGGCTCTGGGCCCTAATCAAACATTCCTTTTTGCCCCACTGACAGCCGAGACAAAGCTTTTAATTAAGGGGAGATTCCTCTTGACAACAGACTTAAAGGGTTAAGACCTGGAAGGAGGGCCGGCCCAGTGGCGCACTGGATAGTGTGCCGCTTGGGAAGTGCGGCGGCGCTTCCGTCCGAGGGTTCGGATCCCACATACAGACCGGCTCCCGCTCGCTGGCTGAGTGAGGCGCGGGTGCAACACCGAGGCTTGCAATCCCGTTGCCGGTCCCCGGTCCGGTACGGGGGCAACACTGAGGGTCGCGATCCGTTGCCGGACCCGGAAAAAAGAAAAAAAAAAAAAAAAAAAAAAAAAAAAAAAAAAAAAAAGACCTGGAAGGAAACTACTTGCTGAGCTCCTGCTATGATTAAATGATCATTGTACTATATACTAATTACTACAATCAAACAGTTAATGTAAATAAATCACTTAGAACAGTACCTGGTACATAGTAAGCACCATACATGTGCTAAAATTTAACAATAATTATTGTTATTACTATGATCACTATTCGTTGGGCATTGTTAGTCTCTCTCACCACTCCCTTCATTCCTCACATCCATTCCTTTAATGGGTATCAATGTCCTCATTTTAAAAGTCTACATAACTAAGACAGAGTAGCTAAATAACTTACTCCAGCTGAGAGGTGGAATTTAACTCCTCCACCTTGCCCACGACCACCAGCAGAGGTCGCCCCTCAGAGATCCTGGGGCCTAATGAGGCCCGATCTCCTTCCCTCTTTTCCAAATATTCAAACTCTGTACCGTCTGGGAGGCCACCATGCATGATCCTCCGCTTCCTTACCCACACAGCCAATGGTCACCACTCCATCTTTGTAGTGCTCCCGAGTTGGGCCGGTTGGCTCCATTGCTGAATCAGTCTGTTGCTCCACCAGGACTGCTGGCCCATCTTCCTCTTCCTCCTCCTCCCCAGAGCCATTACCCCAGGTAGCCCCAGCCACATCCCGAGCAATCTTCTCCCGCCAGCTGCTCAAGTCCACTGTTCAGAGAAGGAGAAGATGAAAAAGATTCTCCCCAGGGCCACTGTATATGATGGCACAGACTGTGCACTGCACAGCTGATGTAATTAGCACCCTCTGGAATTGTATAGCACCAACCTGTACAACAGTGGGCCATAGCATCTCCCCAGCCTTCATTTGACCCCACCCTGGAATCATGCACATCTCTCTCTCTGAGTTTCTGAAAAGTACTGGGAAGACTGAAGGCAGAAAATCACTGAGGCTCCTGCCTACCTGCTGCTCTCTTCTCCCACCCAGTCAGTCCGCTCCTAATTCCATCCCCTGCCTGACCTGTCATGCACATCCATAATAGAGGGGTTGACTTTGAAAAAGGTAAGCAAAATGACTCCAGGCCTTGGGTCTCCCCCATGACCTCCCATAGCACCCCTCTAAGGGCCACATACCTTTCCCTGTGGTGATGGCTTCACATGCTCTCAGCAACTGCTCTGGCCCCAGAGCCCGAGTCCATCCTCTTCCCCGCCTCCGACTCTTCTTCAAGACTGAGATCAGAGGGCACAAAAGGGTTTGCCCACAGGCTTACATATGGGCTTACATCTTCCAGCACCCTTAGGCCCCCTCTGTTCTCCCCTTTTTCCCCTGCCACCCCACCTCTCCCATGTTGCCCTCCTCATTGTCCACTCACCACTACTAGGGTCCTGTGGGGTGCGGGGGTCCCGAGGGAAAGAGGTGAAAAGGACGATGTGGAGCTGAGGATAGTGTTGGTGGAAATAATGCTTCCAGGCAACCACGAGAGCTGGTGGGGCCAGATCCACCTTGTTCAAGACCAGCACCAGAGCCAGCCCAAGTTCTCCAGTTACGTACTCATAAAGTGCTGGTGGGAAATTCACAACCTAGGACAGGGTTGGTAAGGGAATACAGCAATGAGAAGTCAACCAAGAGTTCTCTGTCTCCAGCTCCCCATTCACCAAGCACAACTCGGAGAAAGGGCCCTGGCAGTAGCAGATTCTGGGGCAAAAATGGTAAAGCAGCCAAACTGAACAAGGAAGACAATTCAGGGGTGAATAAAACTGTGTGTAAGTCTCAGGGAGTTTCCTACAGGTCATAATTAGAGATGAAAATGAACTGACAATAAAACATGGAAACAGTGACACCAAGCACACTGAGGTAAAGGCTGGGATCAGGAATGGGGATGGGGGTTGGGGCAGAAGCTAACATCTGTTTTTGTGTGCACACAACTGTACGTGTGTACACATGCATGTGTGTGTGCATGCAAGTACGTGCACATGTGTGCGTGTTTTGTGTTAAGCATGTGTGACTATAACCATGTGAATGTGCCTGCATATATAGATATGCACATGCACACATGTATGTGACTGTGAGTATGTAAGTATTTAAGTCATTAAGAACCTCCAACCTAAATGTCCCCACAGACCTCCCTTTCTCCCATTGGAGGACAAGAGTGAAGTGGCAGATTCAGGATTCACACAGGGCAGTCCAGCAGTAGAGACTACAGCCTTAACCACTACCCTAGCATTCCAGGTGGGTTCTGTAGCAACTGATGTGGTAGTGCTAGAAAGACGAGATGAGGAAGAAAAGGCATTTTGGGTTGAGCAGGGGGAAGCCCTCAGCTGCCTTCATAGAGTCTCTGGAGCTCAACACTGGGACTTTCTATTTGTCTAGCTCTGGCAGGCTGGGAGACAGGACATGCAGGTTTTCATCAAAGGAAGTAAAAAACAGTCAGCTGGCCAGGGGAGGAGTAACAGGTTATGACAAGAGATGAATTAAAAACTGAGCTTCTCACTAGAAATCAGCACAGGGTAGAGTCTGGAAATAAAGAAAGGATACCTCTCTGTCTCCCAACCCCTGCCTCTGACCTTTGCCCCATAAGAACCTTCCTCTCTCTTCTCCCTTGCCCACCCTCATCCCTGTACTCACTGGATGTCGGATATCAGTGATAAGTAAGACAATGTCAGACATCTCTAACACTCGCCACAGCTGCCTCCATGTCTGAAAAGACGAAATCGGTGGAACAGAACTTAAGCCCAGAGTCCCCCTCCAGCCTGACCCCAGACCAATTTGATCATGGGTCACTATGCCCCACTCCTGTCCCCACATCACTGTCACCTCCAGATTGTGTTCAAAGTAGCTGAGTTTCTCAGAGGTGTAAGACCCATGAATCTTCCCAAGATACTCCTGGAAGCTCCGTTCCTCCTGGCTCATTAGTTGCTCCTTGGACATCTCATAGCTCCAAGGAGGACGTCGGGGAAAGTCCAGGACTGGGAAGTCAGGAATAAGCACAAGTAAGTATGAGCACAGTCTCAGACTCAAATGTGCACCCGAGATCCCTCCTTCCTCACAGCCAGCTCTTACCCTTCTAAACTCCTTCCCCCAGCCCCACTGCCTGTCAAAACACCCAGATGTCTTACTCTCACTCACCTGACCCAGGCTGATAGACCTCCTGGATGTCCAGCTCCAGCACCTCAGCACTGACCGGCTGTAGCACTTGCTCCCGGGCTGCTCTCTTTCTCCTCTCCACCTCCTCCCGGCTGTCCCGCTCAAAATGCAACCGGTATCTAAGAGAACAAGGACCACGGCATCCAGTGCAATGCTATGGCCATGAACTCCCCTTTTGAGTAGACAATTTTGCCAAGCTTTCTTTCCAGAGTTGTTCAAGTCTCCCCTTTCAGTCGGCCTTCCCCTAGGTCCCTCTTTCAGGCAATATTCGCCGCCCCTCCCCCTCGCCCTTCTAAAAGTCAAACTCTCTCCAACCCATCTGGAAGGCAGGATTGTGGCCCCAGGGAGCTGAGTGGCCAGCGGAGAACCGTGGCATCCCAGTCCCATCGCCCCCACTTCCAAGCAGCAGCCCACCTTCCCCCAATGCTCTGACTTCCGGGTAGACGGGGAAGCCCGGGCCAGCGCCCCCTCCCACCCTCACCGATTTGGGTCGTAGCCTCGCGGACCCAGCCCCTGGGAAGGCTGCTGGTTGAGCCTGCGGATATGATGGGTCACAGATTCCCCGTCCGAGGTGTCGGTCTGCTCCTCCCGCCGTTCCCGGCTCCCGCTGCGGCTGTTGGAACTGGAGCGTAGCCCATCTTGAAGCCCTGCGGGGAGGGGCCGGTAACGCCAGTGCAGGCCGACTTTCAGGGGTCTTAAGACCCCTTCACCCCGCCTAACTTCTTTCGAGGCTCCGTCCTCCCAACCACCCTACCCAGGACCCTCCCGGAGGTGCGTGGGGGGAGTCACTCCTCCAGGGAGCTGCGGAGATGGATCCCAATTCGAACTGGAGGGATTCCCCTCCCCCAACTCTCCATCCTCCCCCATCCCTTCCAGATGTAGGGGGGGCTGAGGTGGGAATATCCCCTGCGCGGTCTCCCGCGCGAGTCAGCGCGCGCGCGCCCACCACCCCCCTCCCACGCCCCGCCGAGGTGCGGCGGGCACACCCCTCCTTCCAGATGTGCGGGAGCCCGAGCCCCGCCCCCTCCTCCTGCTCCCGCACTGACCTCTCTTCCGCTCCCGCTTGTCCTGCAACTGCTTCTTTTTCTGCTTCACGCTGAAGGGCTTCTTTCTCGGCATGGCCCGGACCAGTCACCTGGCCCGCCCTCCGCCGAGCTCCCGCCGCCCCAACTGACTCTCTTTCTCGGCATGGCCCGGACCAGTCACCTGGCCCGCCCTCCGCCGAGCTCCCGCCGCCTCAACTGACTCCCCCCGGCCCCCGCCGCAAGGGCCCGGGACCCTAGAGGAGGCGGGACTATCGGGTGACGTCAGCGGGCGGGCCCGACCGACTATCCGCGGCTGCCGGGTTGGGAGGCGGACTGAGGAAATATAGTCACTTCCCTCTGGCAGCGAGGCGAGAGGATGATGCGGAGTGGGCTACCGATACATGAGAGCCAGTGGCACCGAGAGGACGCAGAAGCCGCGAGGAAGGAGGCGCGCGTGGGAGGATCGGGCTAACTCCGTCACGGACGCTACCAACTCGCGCTCGGAGGAGGGGGGACGCGTGTCATCACTACCTCGCGCTCCCGGGAGACGCTACCACTCACCTGGAGGGGGCGGTAGAGCGGAGGACGGGTCCTACTACCTTAGGGACAGGGCGCAGTGAACAGGCTGAAGCTACACTACCAACCCGGGGGCTTGACCTTAGTGGCAAGCCGAGACTGCGCATCCCGGGAGTAAAGCCAGGTTGCTGGGCTACACTGGGGGCATCGTCAGAGGTCTGGAGAGGCGGTTGGCGGTCTGAAGGGTACTGGGCGCCAACCTGCTGGGACTCAAATTCCTGTGGGAACGATAAGGAGCAGGTTTACAGACAATAAGTGCAAGCGCGGGCGGGAAGGGAAACCCAGGCGGGACAAGGACTTTTGAAGGGAGGTCAGAGGGCAAGAAGTTGTGCCTGCAGCTGTTACCGTAGTAACCAGGGACCGGATGTGGCGATCTTACGATGCGACAGCCCTCTCAGGCCTTCTAGCCGAGAGCCTGTCGACTCCGGCACTCGTGTTTTCAGCGAAGGAAGAAGCGAGGAATATTTTTAAGCATTTATGGGAATGCGCGCGGCAAAGGGAAGGTTTGAGGTTGCTGCCATGCCTGGCAGGGAGGCAGTTTACATGAGAATGCGGCCGCAGGAAAGGTTCGCCGCAGCCTTCCGGAAGTGGAATGCGGGAGCCTCAGCCTCACAGCCCACCGGCCCCCCGGAAGCGGAAACAGTATCCCAGCGTGCCCCTTCCTCATTGCCCTCCAAATCCCGCTGCAGCCATTGCCGCAGCCACGATGCCTAAACGAAAGAAGCAGAATCAGCAACAGCCACCACCGCATCAGCAGCAGCCCCCACTCCCCGAGCGGGAAGAGACTGAAGATGAGGAGGATGGGAGTCCCATCGGTGAGGGGCCAGGGAGGGATGTGCACATGCCTGTCATCCGATCCGGGCGAGGGGTTAGGGGCTGTTAAGATGCGGGGGAGGGAATTGTAACGAAGGAGGAAGGGCTCACGCGCTGGGGCGGGATCGGGGGAGCTGTCCCAGACAGAGCCTTGAAGAGGAGTTCTCTGACTGAAACTATCAACCTCAATCCGGCGGCCAAACCTTTCTAGAGAAGGCGGGGGAGGAAAGGATAAAGAGCTCGTGTGCGCAGCCGCAGAACGGCCTGCGAGAAGGGCCGTAGAGATGTTGCAGATTGTGATGACTGGGATGACCATTTTTGACCAGACTTTTCACCGGGAAGGTGGACGTGCAGCTTTCTCTAAACCACTCCCTCGGGGGAGGGGGAGGAGAAAAGAGCTATTTGATTGGCCAGCAGTTAAGGTAAGAGATTGGATTAGCCCTGGAATCACCTGGGTTGTTTTGGAAGGCAGCACTGTAAGGGAAAGAGAAAGTTGTCAGAATCCTTCCTGCATCAACCTCTTTGAGTCTCCGCGTTTGTTTGTTTGTTTGTTTGTTTGTTTGTTTGTTTGTTTGTTTGTTTGTTTGTTTGTTTGTTTGTTTGTTTGTTTGTTTGTTTGTTTGTTTGTTTGTTTGTTTGTTTGTTTGTTTGTTTGTTTGTTTGTTTGTTTGTTTGTTTGTTTGTTTGTTTGTTTGTTTGTTTGTTTGTTTGTTTGTTTGTTTGTTTGTTTGTTTGTTTGTTTGTTTGTTTGTTTGTTTGTTTGTTTGTTTGTTTGTTTGTTTGTTTGTTTGTTTGTTTGTTTGTTTGTTTGTTTGTTTGTTTGTTTGTTTGTTTGTTTGTTTGTTTGTTTGTTTGTAAAGATGACCAGTAAGGGGATCTTAACCCTTGACTTGGTGTTGTCAGCACCACGCTCTCCCAAGTGAGCAAACCGGCCATCCCTATATAGGGATCTGAACCTGCGGCCTTGCTGTTATCAGCACCACACTCTCCCAACTAAGCCACGGGCCGGCCCCGAGTCTCCACTTTATTGCAAACCCTGAAACAGCTTTGCAGAGGAATAGGTAGATAGATGGGATGAAAACTGGTAACACTGCTGAGAATATACCTGACTATACTGGTTGAATTAAGAAATGAGTAATAGAATAAAAACACTTAAGAACAGGATCATCAGTCCTTTCATTCATTCTGATGACCATATTTTCATGTCTTTTCTTAGGACCACCCAGCCTTCTGGGCCCTCCTCCCATGGCCAATGGAAAGCCTGGTGACCCCAAGTCAGGTGAGAAGGAAGGGGCCCTGATTCTCATATCAGGTCTTGGAGAGGGGACAAGGGAGGGAGTAAAACCCAAGAAGGACTTAAAATCAAAAGATCAGGGATTCTGTACCTAAATAAATGGAGAAAAGTTGTATATTCATAGATTGGAAAACTCAGTGTTGTGTCAGTTCTTCTCAAATTGATTTAAAGATTCAGTGCATTCTCAGTCAGAATCCCTACAATGTTTTTATGGAAGTAAACATTCTACAGTATTATATAGATACTCAGAGTATCAGGGTGAGAGACTGCCAAGACAGTCTTGAAGTGGAAGGGCTTATCTGAGTCAAGACTTATTGTAAAGCTACAGTAGTTAGGACACAGTGGTTTTGGCACACTGACAGACCTATAAGTCAATTGAACAGTGTAAAGAGTCCAAAATAGGCCCACACATATATGGACACTTCATTTATGATAAAGATAGAACTGAAAAGGTGGTATTTTCAGGAAATGATGCTGGATCAATTAGATATTCATGTGAAAAAAATGAAATTTGACCTTCTACTCATACCATATACAAACATTAATACCGAGTGAACTGTAGATCTAAATGTGGAAGGTAAAACAATAATTCTTCTAGAAAATAAATGTATTTTCATAGTCTTACAACAGAGTAGCTAAGAGTACTTAAACAGACGAGAAATACACATATACACACTAACCATAAAGGAAATTGATAAATTGAACTACATTAGAAAATATAAACTTCTATCTGTTCCTTCCAAACACTGTTGAAAAGAAAGAAAAGAAAAAGGAAATATAAACTTCTATTAATCAAATGACATCATTAAGAAATTAACAGGAAGCCATAGAGTAGAAGAAGATATTTGCAACTAATATAACCAATAAAGAGCTCATATCTAGAATATGTAAAGAACTCTTCCAAACAACCCATTAGAAAAATTGGCAAAAGACTAGAACAGAGACCTTATAAAAATAGAAGTCTGAATGGACAAAAAAATGTGAATACTTAACATCATTAATTGTTAAATAAATGCAAAATAAAACACACCACTTTGAAATTGGAATTCTTGTACACTGTTGGTGGGATTGTAAAATGATTCAATCATTGTGGAAAAGAGTATGGGGGTTCCTCAAAAAATTAAAAATAGAACTACCATGTGATCCAGCAGTCCCACTTCTGGGTATATATCCAAAAGAATTGAAAACAGGGTCTTGAAGAGATGTTTGCACGCTGATGTTTGTAGCAGCACTATTCACAATAACCAAGAGGTGGAAGCAACCCACATGTCCATTGACCGAAGAATTGATGTACATACAATGGAATATTATTCAGCTTTATAAAGGAAGAAAATGCTGTCACATACTACAAGGATGAACCTTGAGGACATTATGCTCAGTGAAATAAACTGGTCACAAAAAAACAAATACTGTGTGATTCCATTTATATGAGGTGTGTAAAGTGAAATTAATAGAAACGGAATGGTGGTTACCAGGAGGGGGACGAAGGAAAGGGAGTTGTTTAATGGACACAGAGTTTCAGTCTTGAAAGACAGAAAAAGTCCCGGAGATCTGTTTCATAATAATATGAATATACTTAACACTGCTGATCTGTACACTTAAAAACAGTTAAGATGGTGAATTTTATGGTTTTTTTTACCACAATAAAAAGCAAACAAAAAACCCATTACTTTTCATACTTAGATGACAAAATGAAAAAGATTGACAAACTAAATGTTGTGGAGGCTGTGGAACAACTACTGGTAGGAATGTCAATTGGTTCAACCACTTTTTTAAAAAAAAGTTTGACACTTTATTAAACTTGAGTATACATACACTCTATGACTCAGCAGTACCCCTAATATATATATATATACTCAACAGAAATGCATATATGTGTATAACAAAGACATGTATAAAAATGTCCATAGCAGCATTTTTCATTATAGCCCCAAACTGGATACCACTCCCGTGGCCATCATCAGTAGAATTGATAAATTATTATTTTATATGCATGCAATGGGATACTACACTGCAATGAAAATTAATGAACTGCTGCTACAGGCAACCTGGATGAATCTTATAAACATGATGTTGAGCTAAAGGAGCCAGACACAAAAGAATGCAGACTATGATTCCATTTATGCAAAGGTCAAGAACAGGCAAAAACTAACCTATGGTGATAGAAGTCAGGATAGTGGTTTCCTCTGGGGAGGAGGGTGGGGTAATGAGGGGAGGAGCATGGGTAGGTCATTCACAGTGCTAATAAAGCTCTCTCTTCACCTGTATGGTGGAAACACAGGTGTGTTTACTTTGTAATAACTGAATTGTGTAATAAAATTGGTGTATCTTTATGTATGCTGTACTTCAATAAAAAGAGGAGAAAAAAGTCAGAGCTGCTGTTTCAGGATTAAGCTGCACATTGGTCACCTTTCTGTGTCTTTTTCTCTCCTTAGCCCTTCACAGAGGTCCTCCAGGATCAAGGGGTCCGATGATTCCACCACTGCTGAGTCTCCCACCTCCTCCCCGGGGTAGAGGCCCAATTCGGGGAGGCCTCGGCCCTAGGTCTGGCCCGTACGGTCGTGGCTGGTGGGGAGTCAGTGCTGAACCTCCTTTTCCGGGTCCAGGCCATGGGGGTCCCTCCAGGGGAAGCTTTCATAAAGAGCAGAGAAACCCTCGAAGGCTCAAAAGCTGGTCTCTTATCAAGAATACCTGCCCACCCAAGGATGATCCCCAGATTATGGAAGGTGAGGTTCATTTTGTTATGCCTGTATACATTTAATACCCATTACTCCCAGAGTGACCTAATTTCCAGGATGTCGGTGACTCTTCTCCTTTGGGCTGTCCTTTTTCCCTTAGAAGTGGGAATAGACCTGAATGTTTTTCCTCCCAGGAGACTCATTCTAAAATACTTGGAAAAGGCAGGGAATAGGAAATCTGACTTGCTTCTCTATCTCTGCTTTTCATTACATCTTCTTTCTTATTTTAATTTTTAACTACCCAGTTTTCTCTTGTTCACAGACAAATCCGACCGCCCTGTTTGCCGACACTTTGCCAAGAAGGGCCACTGTCGATATGAGGACCTCTGTGCCTTCTACCACCCAGGCGTCAATGGACCTCCTCTGTGAGGCTGTGCCTTCCCATCCAGGCTGGAAGGAGCCCTCTGTGACCTAGTGGCCATGTATTTCCCTGTGGCCCTGTGATGGCTACTGCAAGGCTCTTCCACCCAACACCCTCAGTCAGTGACACAACCACCCTCATCTGCCATCTCCCCCATTTGGGGTCCAAAGTTGTGTTTCATCAAGGTGCACGGTGTGTGCGCTTTCTTCTGATCCAGCCTCCAGAGACTCGCCTTCTGGACCCCATCTTTGCTCCCTTTAACTGCCTCCTGGATCTTCCCCCTCGCCAAATGACTGCTGAACAGGAAACCTCTTTGGTGCTGTTTCTTGTGCATCGTCTACCCAACCCCAGTATTGCCCTTGATTCCTGAGAGCCCTGGAGCGGTTTCCAACCATTCCCTTCTGGCTGCTTGTTTTAAGTCCTTTTTATGTGACATCCCCTACCCCCGATGTTGTCAGCTGCTCGTGAAACTCACCAGGTTGTCTAACCTAGGATCAAGTGTGGGTGACTGGTACAGAGTTACTCCCTGAAAGGCCACTCTCCCTGCTTTTGGATTTTGTAGTTTCTCTGTCAGTAGCATGATCCCCACCACTATGGTCTGTGATCACTGTGCTTTGTGAAACTGTGCATCCCCTCATAGCCTTTCTCGGTGTCCGTGGCATTTTTGTGACTTCCCGACACTAGAATAAGTTTTTCTGCCAAAATGAGCAAGGCTCTTGGTGCCCTCTAGACTTTCCCTACTTCCCAACACAGGAGGATTGTGAAACCTTCCACAAGACTGCCTCCTTGGACCTCCCCATTCTCCTGGTGTTGGTTATTTTGGGTCTGACACAGGCCCATGAGATGTCTTTTAAAGCCTCTGATGGGCCTACCCTACTACCTAGCTCCTCCAGCCCGTTTAGTTCAACTATGTCATTGTGAGGCCACCAGCCCTTTCATTTGAATTCTGTGAATCTCCACCTGGCCTATCTTTGGGTGGAAACTGGACAGTACTGTTGCCCTCTTTCAACCTTCTTCCCCTACATCCCTGGCACTGGTTGTTTTCTGTGAAAACGGCAGTGAACAGGTTCAGTTTTGAACTGGCCCTGAGGAAATGGGTCAGGAGTTGTGTGGGCAAGAGGGACGGATGAGAGCCGTTGGAGAACTGAGAATGAGTTTTTTTTCTTTTTAACTTTTTTTTATATTAGTAATAAACGCAGTGGAAACAAGTATTTTCTTTAATCCCTGTGTTCCAGTCATCTCTGGAGGTACAGATGAGGCCTAATTGGTTAGCTTACTCTTTTTTTTTTTGGTGGCTGGCCAGTATGGAAATTCAATTACTCTTTATTTAGTTTATATGCAGTGATGGTGGAGAATGGCAAGACTTAAGTTTCTTCAAGTCAAAGAACTATTGGGGTGCCATTAGCCTGTAGGCATCATCACACCAAACTGCATTGTGTTCAAGGGCAAAGTTCTGTAGGAAAAAGAAAAGGCCAGGTATCTGTGGAGTAATTTTTAAACATTTTACCTTATTTGTAGGTTTGGTGTTTATGGAGTGGTAATGATGAAGCAGTCTCAACAAATATTTGTGAAGCACTTGTGGGCCAGGCAAAATACTAGGCACTAGATATAACTGAGAGCCGAAACTAATAAATTTGAAAAGTTAAGGAGAAGACACATTCACCAAATAATGACAAATACATGTAAAGTTACACCTGTCAAAAGTGCTGTGAAGAAGACGTGGTGAGAGTGTAATAAAAGGTGTCTGGGAAGGAAATGACAGCTAAAAGAAGCTGAAGGATAAATGTCAGTTGGGGCAGGAGTGTAGTCCAGGCAAGGGTATTTGCTAAGAGACCTAGGGGAATAAGAACAAGAAATCTAGGGAAAGAGTGGAAGATGAGACGGAGAGGAGCTAGATCACGCAGAATGTAAGGATTTGGTACTTTTCTTAAGACAAGCCTTTAAAGAGTTATAGGCAGATGAATATCATGGATTAGGTTGGTTTTGCAAACAGATCAACTGTATTGAGAGGGCTAGGCTTTGAACTGAAGGTTTGAAGGTTACTTCGGTGGTACAGGTGGGCCACAGTGGTGGTGCAGATTTGGGTAGTGGAGTTGGAGATAAGTGGACATATGGAAATGACAGGTCAAAATCAGAGTATTTTAGGTTTCTCTGGGTGTTTCTGGCTTACATAACTAAGTGCCATTTAAATAGAAAGGTATTGGAAGAAAACAAGCAGAATGCCAGTAATTTGCTTTTGGTTTGGTTGAGTCTGAGCTGCCTTTTAAGATATTGAAGCAGATAGGCCGGCCTGTGGCTCACTCGGTAGAGTGTGGTGCTGATAACACCAAGGCCACGGGTTCAGATCCTACATAGGGATGGCCGGTTTGCTCACTGGCTGAGCGTGGTGTTGACAACACCAAGCCAAGGGTTGAGATCCCAGGTATTGGAAGAAAACAAGCAGAATGCCAGTAATTTGCTTTTGGTTTGGTTGAGTCTGAGCTGCCTTTTAAGATATTGAAGCAGATAGGCCGGCCTGTGGCTCACTCGGTAGAGTGTGGTGCTGATAACACCAAGGCCACGGGTTCAGATCCTACATAGGGATGGCCGGTTTGCTCACTGGCTGAGCGTGGTGTTGACAACACCAAGCCAAGGGTTGAGATCCCCTTACCGGTCATCTTTATAAAAAAAAAAAAAAGATATCGAAGCAGAGATATCAAGTAGGTAGTTGGATATACATGTTTTGGTATTCAGATTAGAATCAGTTATCTGCATATAGGTGGTGGTTGAACCCATGAGCATTCATTCACTTTGCAAGTTTTAAGCACGAATTATATCCCAATATATCAGATTTAAGTTCAGTTGTAACAGAAACTCGAAATTAGTCTTAAACAAGATAGAAGTTTATGGGGTAGACAGTACAAAGCATGTGTACAATCATGCCACCACAAGGTCCTCAGGTATTTAGAAACCCAAAGCCCAGCTTTCAGCTCTGCAATCCCTGATCAAACACCTATTCGCAGTCCAAAGTGAAGCTCTAGCTTCCTCATCCACATTCAAAGCCTCAAGATGGAGGAAGGGCAGAAGACACCAGTTGTCTGGGAGGAAATTTACTCAAAGTTAATGCACAGCTCTTCTACTTGTATGCCACTGCCCATAACTTAGTTCTTTGGAAAAGTACTCTTTGTTCAGGCAGCCATAAGCTAAGCAAAATACCAGGGGCTTTCAGCTGGTAAACACAGGGTAGGATGAACAGCATCTACCCACCACTCACTGTGCTAAAATTTGGGGATGCAATAGAGAGTAAGATGTAAAGATGTCCATGCCCTCCAGCTGGAGACCACCAGGATCACACCTACGGTCAAACAAAGTTGGGTTTAAGAACTCTGCAGAAGTTATTAATAGATAGTTACGATTAGGTTTTGTGTGAGGTGATTTCAAAGAAGAGGGAAATCATTCTGGTTTGTGTGCTGTCAGGAAGCAGGGGCAATTCTATGATTTCACATTCTTATAAATCTTATCTAGAAGGAGGGAGGAATGAAATAGGCTACAGCTGTAATGTAAAAACAGCCATCACTCATTTTAGCCAAGAGAGCTGCTTGGTATTTTGTGGTTTGCACAGTGACCTTGTTTTTGTCTTTGCTTAGACAAGGTTATGAAGTTCGTCTTACTTTACAATCTGTGAGATTATGTTCAATAAAGAGCACCATAGCCTAGCTGTTAGTGTCAAGCCAGTTCCCAGTTGTCAGAGGCTGCTTTTCTCAAAAATAAACAAATAGATAATTACAGGTTATGGTAAATGATGTGAAAGAAATAATGGAGTAAGTGAATAGAAAACAATGATTGGGTGGCCACTCGAGACATGGTGGTTAGGATAGACCTCCAAGGAATTCGTAGCTGAAATCACTTGGGAGGGGAATGTCAAGTGGAAAGAAGAGAGGGCCCAGGACTTAGCCTTGAGTAACTCTGACATTTAATGACTGAGCCAAGGACAAGGAGACTGAGAAGGGATGCCTGAGAGGCAAAGAAAGATTGCAGAGTGTGGCATGGTCTGGCTGCTCACTTTGTGCCAGGTACCATGCTAAGCTCTTGTATCCATTGTCTTATTTAAGCTTCATGTTTACTCAATGAATACTTCAGTGCCTACTCTAGGGCAGGAACTGTTGTAGGGGCTGAAGATATATCAGTGAAAAGGACAAAATCCCTGCCCATATGGAGCTGACATTGTTTTGAGGATGATAGACAATAAATACACGTGTGATATAATTTTAAGTAATAATAAGTGCTCTGAAGAAGAGGCTAGAAAGTGACAGATGGGAGAGGACAGGTTGATACAAAAATAGATAGGACTTCTTTGAGGAAGTAACACATGGACAGAAATTAAATGAAGGAGCAAACCATACGAATATGTGGGAGAAGTGCATTCCAGGCATAGGGAACAGCAAGGGGAAAGGCCCTGAGGCAAGAATGAGATTGGAATGAAAATAGAAGGCCGTGTGGGTAGCCTGTGGGAGATGAGATCAAGAAGTTCAACAGGCCATGTCATACAGAGCCCTGTAAGCTATGGTAAAGCATTTGGATTTTATTCTGAGTATTTTGAACAAATGGTTTACATTTTAAACCTAGCACCGACTGTAGGTGAGAAGAATGGACTAGAAAATTAGAACAGTACGGAAACCAGTTAGGAAGCCACTGCAGGGGACTAATCCAGGGGAGAAGTGATAGCGGCTTGGACTAGGGTAGAGGTGGAAAAGTGGTCAGATTTGGGATATGTTTTAAAGTCTCAGTTGATGGTAATTTCATCTTTCCAGATGCTCAAGCCAGAAACCTTGGAGTGATCCTTAATTCCTTCCTGTCATATCTGACCTCCAATCCATTAACAAAATTTGTTGGCTCTTTTTTCAAAATATGCCCAGAAACCAGCTTTCTTTACCACCTCCACTACTATCACTGTGGTCTGAGTCACTGTCACCTCTTAATAAGTCTCCCTGATTTTACCATTTCTGCCCACCCCCACCCTCACCCCCAGTCTATTCTCATCACAGCCCCCAGCATCATTACTTTAAAATGGGTCATGTCACTTTGCTCAGAACCCTGCAGTGACTTCCATTTTAACCAAGAGAAGAAGCTAACATCTTTAAGATGACATAAAAACCCTTCTCAATCCAGACCGTGCTTTACTTCTGTTTGCCTTTCCAACAACCTCTTGCTCATTCATGCCACTCCAGCCACACGGGCCTCCTTGTTGTTTTTTCCTCATATATGCAAGGACACTCCTGGTGTAGGGCATTGCTCTAACTGCTCCTTCTGCTAGAAAGGCTTTTCTGCCAGAAATTCATGTGTCCAAAACCCTCACCTTCTTCAAGGGTTTGCTTGACTTTCACTTCAAGGCCTCATGAATGTTCTATTTAGTCCTGCAACCTGCCCTCCTGATACTTTTTACTTTTATCTATATTTTCTTTTATCCGTAGCATTACCTCTCCTGCTACAAATGCAAGCAGAGATCTTTTTTTTTTTTTTTTTTTTTTAAAGATGACCAGTAAGGGGATCTTAACCCTTGACTTGGTGTTGTCAGCACCACGCTCACCCAATGAGCTAACCGGCCATCGCTATATGGGATCCGAACCTGTGGCCTTGGTGTTATCAGCACCACACTCTCCCGAGTGAGCCACGGGCCGGCCCAGAGATCTTTATTTTATTTAGTGGTATCCCAAGAGCCTAGAAAAGTGCCTGCATATACCATACACTCAATAAATATATTTGTTGAATGAATGAATGAATGACATGGCTGCTGATAGATTAGGTAGAGGAGAGGGAATGAAGAAAAGAGGATGATCTTCCAGTTTTGGCCCCAGTAACTGGATGAAAAGCAGTGTGATTTCTTGGCATGGGGAGGTCTGGAAGAGACAGTCTTGAGGAGTAAAAACAAAAGTTTCCTTTTGTACATATTAGTTAGAGACATTTATTTGAGATCTCAGAGAGGATGTCCAGTAAACAATTGAATTCATAAGCCTGGAGCTCGGGGCAGAAATTGGGGACAGCAAGAGACATTTGGGAATCTTCATCAGTTATAGGTGATATTTAAAGTCATGAGACATAAGTAATAAGTTTAGATAAAGAAGAGCGTCAAAAATTGAGCCCTGAAGAACCTCAGGAAAAGAAGCCAGCATAGGAGGAAAAAGGGAGCAGTCTGTGAGATAGAAAGGAAATCTGTGGAGAGCATTGTCCCTGAAGAAAACAAAGGAAGGAGAGAGTAACGAACGTATCAAATGCTGCTGGGAGAGTGAGCAAGTTGAGGTCGAAGAACTAGCTCCTGATCTGTTGACCTTGGCAAGAGTGAACTCAGCACTGGTAGGGACAAAAGCGCAATTGTAGTGGTTTAAAAGGAGAATGGGATCTGACAAGGCAAGGAGAGCCCCTAGCTCAGGCTCCCACACCTACTATTAAGTGGTAGAGTTAGAAGTGAACCCAAATCTTGATCGTGGTGATGGTTTAATGGGTTTAAGCATGTCAAAACTTATCAAAGTGTACACTTTGCAGTTCACCATATGTCAATTATACCTCAGTAAAGCTGTAACCCGCCCCCGCAAAAAAGTGTACCCAAACTCTACCGCATCGTGATTTCTGTTTGTTGGGCTACTGTTCCTCGTCTACAACTGTACATTTGTACATTTCGGGATTTTGTGACACATCTCAACACTGGACCGGCAAGGCCTCTTCCTTAATCAGCGGACTGCGTTATGTTCTGCTCCTGACCAGACCCTGGACGGTAGAAGGTAGTATCCACTCAAAAAAACAAAAAGTATGCCTCAACTCCTTTATACTAGTTGGAAATTATTATATTCATTCCTTGAGTCTCACGGCGTCGCGGGGTCACCGGGTCAGGCTTCCCAGACAGTCATAAATGCGATGCTGACGCCAAGAGCGCAGGTGGACGCCGACCCGGCCCCTCCCCGTCATTGCAGGCCACGCCTCCACCGGGCCACGGCTACACCCAAGCCGGCCGACATGACGACGCGGAGCGCACGTGCGCCGCCCGTGGGCGGGGTTGGGCGCGCGGGCGTGGAGAATCCGCCCCATTCGGGGCTCCACGCCGCCGGAAGCGGAAATAGCGCAGGGTGCCACCAGAGTAGCCGTAACTGCCACCGCGATGCCGAAGGGCCCCAAGCAACAGCCGCCGGAGCCCGAGTGGATCGGGGACGGGGAGAGCACGAGCCCCGCAGGTGAGGCTGGTAGGCAGGGAGGAAATGAGAGAGGAAAGAGAAGAGAGAGTGCGCGTGTCTTGCGGGGGTCACAGGGCACGAGACTGACCGGGCCCTGCGGGGTCTACTGCGCATGCGTGCTGTGGGGCCGGGAAGCTTTTGCCCGGCATGAGTGGGTTCGGAGTGAGGGGGAAAGGAAAGGTGCCGGGGTGTCGCACGCGAACTTCAGTGGGACTGGGCAAGAGACGAGGAAGAGCATATGGTGCTGAGGGAGAGATGGAGAAATGGGGAGAAATGAGAAAGTTCTCCGTTCTTCTGTTTTGGACACGTTCTCCACGACATTATATCCTGGAGGAATATGTAAGACCTGCCTCGACCTCCCCTTACGCGCGCGCACATACCTCGGGAGCCCGTGATCCCACTTGTTTCTCAAATAGAATGACTCCTTCATGGGTTCTTTCATAAGACACGCATCTGACTTAACTGGAGCTTGAGTGTAGAGTGTGGATGTTGGAATGGGGGTTAGGGTTTACTTAAAAGTAACGAATGTTCTTTGCTCTCCTGTTGTTAATTAAGCACGATATATATTGTGCTTTGGGAGGGGAAAGAAAAAAATGAGAAAATACCTTCCAAGCTTTGAAAGCACTTCAATGGGGAGATAAAACGGACACACATAATTACAGTAGGTATACCGTGACTCATTTTACACGTATTTATTGGGTGCCTACTGTACACCAGGTACTGTGCAAAGGAACTGGGAATGTGGAGGTAAAAGATAAGCCTTTCCCTCAAGGGGTTATCTAGTCTAGTGGAGGGACAGAGCATTAAACAGCCAGTGGTTGTCAGAGTGTGATGAATGTGCTTGAGAATGCTTAGGGACTACAGAAGAGAGGAGGAGCATCTACTCAGACAGGTAAGTTAGGAGTGTCAGCGAAGCCTCCCAGGAATATGTAATACCTTAATTCATTCTTGAAGGATCAGTATGAGTAAGAGAAAGCTCATTCCACGCAGAGGAAGAAGTTTGTGGAAAGGTAGAGATGCAGGTGAGCCTGGCTGGTTCCCACTAGAGCCTGGTGACTAGTGTGATGGAGTTGGAAAGATGTGCAGTATACAGAAAATGAAAGGCTTTATATGCTATTCCAAGGAGGAGTTTAATCCTAAAGACATTCAGGAAGAAAGACCCATCCAAGTGCAGAAGGAATGATCAGCCATCCTGACAACACTGAGTAGTGGAGAATGGCCTTTAATTGGTCAAGATGGAGGAAGGGAGACTATTTAGGAGGCTCTGGCAATGATCCAGGTGAGAAGTAAGGGAATAAGCCAAAGCAGTGATGTCTAAAGAGTTACTGAGGAAGTGGCATTGACCAGCACTGAGAACAAAATGAAGGGAGAATTAAGAATGACACTAGCTTAAGTAACCCAGTGGATAGTAGACTTTTAATTGAAAGCAGTCATGGGCTGTAATGTGGGGCATGGGGAGAGATAAGATGAGCTTTTGAATGTTAATTTGGAGATTTCTGAGGAATTTCTAAGAGGAGATGCCAAGGAGAGAGAGTTTGTTTAGTGACTGTGGAGAGAGACCTAGACTAGGAATAAAGACACAAGCGAGTATAGTTGAAGCAGTGGGCTATGGAGGAGTTCCCTAGAGAGTGTATGCAGATTGAAGCAAAAAAGAGGGCAGAAGGCAGGAAGCCAAAAGAACCTCAACAAGGAAGGGAAGAAGGCTGAGATGAGATGGAGAAAGGCGAGGTGCCAGGGAAACTGGAGACAAACCCAGAGCCAGCAGGATCCCAGAAGTTAAGTCATGACAGGAGAGGAGAACGCAAGGATGCAGAGGTAGGTAACGTGGAATGGTGCAGCAAAGTCAAACCAAATAAGGACTAAATAGTTTTTGGCTTGAGGAGTTAAGGGGGTCGGTGGCAAGTCTGGCAAAAGTAGTGTTCATTAGGAGATGGTACCCACATCAGGCTGCGGTATGTTCAAAAAGGAATGGGAGAGGGCCGGCCCGTGGCTCACTCGGTAGAGTGCAGTGCTGATAACACCAAGGCCGCGGGTTCGGATCCTATATAGGGATGGCCGGTTTGCTCACTGGCTGAGCGTGGTGCTGACAACACCAAGTCAAGGGTTGAGATCCCCTTACCGGTCATCTTTTAAAAAAAAAAAGACAAAAAGGAATGGGAGATGAGGACGTGGAGCTAGTGTGAACTATGCTTTTGAAACTCGGTGAAGACAAGGATAGAAATCAGTAATGGGGGCGGGGGGTGGAAAAGGTTAAGAAAAGTGTTTCTTTTGCTTTGAAGTTAGGAGCAGCTTAAGTGCTATACTAATAGGAGAGATGGAAGATACAGTATAGCTGTAGCAATACTTAACCTTTTTCTGTTCCTTGGTGATTGTATTTTCTCACAATTGAACTTGCACACAGGCTTTCCATTCCCTATGGTCAGGTGGATGAGAGTGTTGTTTAAAGTACAAAAGGGACTTAAAGGAAGGAGAGATAGTATGGTTGTCTTAGTTCTTGGGGAGAAATCAGTGTCTGGGATGAGTCACTTCTCAGTGTTGCCAAGGTGAGCTGATCATGTCATTCCTCCTAATGTACTTCAGAGGGTTTTTTCTCTTAACGTCTTTAAGGATTAAACTCCTTGGAATAGCCTATAAAGCCTTACATTACTAATCCTGCACATCTTTCCAACTTCACACTAGTCATCCAGTACTGGGATCAGATTTTGAAATGTGTTCTGGATGGAGGACACTGATTAGGCAAAACCAGACTTAAGCATGCCTGGGACTTAAGGATAAGGGAGAAGCTAGTGTCTAGAACACAGGTGTGGGTAGGGAAACAGAGAAGATAGGATAGGGCCCTTTTAGTATGTGAAGCCCTAAATTATAGGGATTGTCCTTTCTTCTCTCCAATTTTTTGGCAAAGCAGATGCTCAGTAAAACTTTGCAGAATAAATGATTACTATGGAATTCTGGTTTGAGAATTCTGGTCTAAGAGTACTTAATGTAGTAGATAGCAAGATTCCATCAATTTTTTTTTTGAAAAATGTTAAATGATTATAGGAATGTTTTTGGGTACAATTGGATGGCACTGGGTGGAAGGGATGGTTTGGAAAGGAGGGTGATAGATAGGGCATGAAGAGAAATCGTGAGACTGCTGGCTGCCTCCCAATCTGATAAGGGAACATTAGACATAGTCCCCTACCTTTAGGATAACAGGGATGGACAGAAGGGAGGAGCTGAAATTTGCTCAGTCAATAAACTTTTATTGACTTCCCATGTTGCTCCCTGGGAACACAAGCTAAGCAGTCTCTCAGGTCACTCTCTAGGATGAAGGATGGACACACAGGTAAGTATGACATAATGCAACTTGTGCTATAATGTTCGAGCAAGTGGGGCATAGACCTAGATGTTCATTTACTTACCAGATAACTCTATTTACATGGCCTACAGGTTTTACAAACAACATTTCCTAAACTGAATTCATAATGTCTTCTTCTTACTCAGGGGTGGGACCTTTGCTTTCACTATTTTTGAAATTAATAAATGGTACCACGAGCCCAGCTCATTTTGCCAGCTAAAAAAATGGCATCATCTCTGAGTACTCTCATTTGTTTCCCACCTCTACCCCCAGCCTATGCATTCTGCTTCTCTACCTCCCCTTGCCACCTCCCTAGTCCTAGCCACCATTGCCTGTCTCCAGACTACAGTGATGGCCTTCCAACAGATTTCCCACTGTGCTTGGTTTCTCCCATTCTTGCTCCATTCTGAAGCCAGAGTGAGATTTTGAAGTGTGAAAATGATCATACCAATAAAGTCCCCATTCCTTAACCTGATTACAAGGCCCTCACTCCAGCCTTATCTTGCACCATTCTACCCTTCAGCCTCTAAGCTTTAGCCATACTTTCTCACAGCTGGACCTGTGCATAGCACTGGAAGCCCACCATGTGCCTAGCTTATCATACTCATACTAAAGGCGTTAGCTTAAATGTCATCTCTTCAGGGAGGTCTGCACCAGAGATGAGGCCTGCTCCTGTTCCCATCCAGTAAGCATTACCTTCCCTTTTGGAACCTTTAATACACTTGCAACTACCTGTTTAAAAATCTTTTTGCTAAAGCCTACAGCTCCAGAGGAAACTATGGTTGTTTTATTCATGGCTGTATCCCCTACACTAGCAGTGTATCTGACACGTGGTAGCTGTTTAGTAAATAAATATTTATTAGAAGAATGAGTGAAGATAGGAGTGATTAGTTCTGCAGGAGTTGTGGGACAGTGCAGATGTCTAGGGAGTGATTGTTTTGTTTTGCTTTGTTTTGGTGGCTGGCTGGTATGGGGATCCAAACCCTCGATGTCAGTATTATAACACTGTTCTAACCAACCAGCCAGCCCCAACAGAGTGATAGTTGAGCTAGATAAATAGTGAAGACAATGGTGGAGGCCACTGAGAACTTTGCAGTGGAGATTAGGCTGCAGGTTTGGAATTTGTAGACAAGCATTCACTATGTCTTCTTAACCTTCTAGACAGAGTGGTGAAGAAGGGGAAGAAGGACAAGAAGACCAAAAAGACGGTGAGAAAATAAGGGTAGAGGATGAGAAATGACTGTGGGTGTTTCCAAGCAAAATAAATGGCCACGTGAAGGAATGGGAGGTCCGAGGGAAGAGAAAAGATCTTGTCAAGAGAGGAAGGAAGGTGAGGGTGGAATGGAAGACCAGTGGCCTATGTGTGGCATTGAATGGCTTGGTGGTCTTGGAGCCACGTTTGCCTATACCTTTGCCTCCCTTTATAGTTCTTTGAAGAGCTGGCAGTGGAAGACAGACAGGCTGGGGAAGAAGAGAAAGTGCTCAAGGAGAAGGAGCAGCAGCAGCAGCAGCAGCAGCAGGTACAAATGTCATGGGCCACCGATCCTGGGAGGCATCTTGGGTCCACCAGCCCCCTCCCGCCCACGTTGTTCACTCAGCTGATGGGGAACTCTCTGTGGGGCAGAAATAACAGCAGATGCCTGGCCTTTGTTCTCTTTCTTTTTCTTTCAGCAGCAAAAAAAGAAACGAGACACCCGAAAAGGCCGGTGGAAGAAGGATGTGGATGATGATGGAGAGGAGAAAGAGCTCATGGAGCGTCTTAAGAAGCTCTCAGTGCCAGCCAGTGATGAGGAGGATGAGGGTAAATCACCCGACGGACTGGAATCCTTGAGTCACAAGAGTGATGCCTTATACCTTGATCTTTGAGTTTGAGTAAATTGAGGAGCCAGACATGGTAATTCTCTTTCCTACCTCATCTCCCCTTGTCATTTCAGTGCCTGCCCCAATACCCCGAGGAGGGAAGAAGGCCAAGGTAAGCCATGTGTGTGGTAAACAGATCCCAAGGGTGCAACCTGAACTATTCCACTTACTTCTGCGGCCCTTTCATTCCCTAGGGTGGTAATGCTTTTGCAGCCCTGATTCAGGATCAGAGTGAGGAAGAGGAGGAGGAAGAAAAATATCCTCCTAAGCCTGCCAAACCAGAGAAGAATCGGATCAATAAGGTGAAAGCAGTGGCTCTGCCTGTCTCCCGTTCCCATTTAGCGCTTTCTGACTATGGTGTTGTAGTTTCCTGTTTTACACTAGCTCTTCTAGGTCTGTCTTGCTTATGCTGTCAAAATCATCTTTTCAAAGTACTCTTTTTATCATTCAGAAAGCTACAGTGATTCTCTTGCTTTTAACTTAAAATCTAAAACAAAGGCCCCTAAATCTTTGCTCCCCACTTGAGGCTCTTCCATGGGTACCTCTCAGGTCAGCTCATCACATCTTGTCATCCAGTTTGAATATGTCCATGTTGAAGGCTTGTTCTTCGTGCTGCTGCTTTCCTCTTCCCCAGACCACCCTCTCCAAGCCCATGTCTATTATCTCTTTTCAAGATCTGCCGTCTCCAGGAAGCTCTCCAGCACCAGTGCCACCCACCCACACTGCATACTTGCCTGACTCACAGTCCCTTAGCTTTGCTAATGTTCTCTAGTTTTCTCTCTACTGTCTAGTCTCAAGCTGCAGGGTAGGGTTTTTCTGGGTCTCATTTCTCCCCAGCAGCACTCAATATAATTAATTCAAACACAGTAGGCTCCCTAGAAATGCTCATTAAGCAACAAGGTAGCAAATTAAATTGTTTGTATGTGTGTCTTCTCCAGGCTGTATCTGAGGAACAACAGCCTGGACTCAAGGGCAAAAAGAGAAAGGAAGAGAAGTCAAAAGGGAAGGCTAAGGTGAGAGGGTAACTGGCAGGGGGAGGTATGGGGTCTCCGGAATTAGAGCTTTACATCAGACCTGTTTCCTGTTAGCCACAAAATAAATTTGCTGCTCTGGACAACGAAGAGGAGGATGATGAAGAAGAAGAAATAACAAAAGAAAAGGAGCCTTCCAAACAAGGGAAGGAGAAGGTGAAGAAGGCAGAGCAGGTATATATTTTGGTATTAGAGGAAGGTGGGGTGAGGGACTAGGGCTCTGTGGTCCTTAGGGAAGAGTCAAGATCTGGAGATATCATTACCATCTAGAGCAGGAGTTGGCAAACTTTTTCTGTAAGAGGCCACATAGTAAATAGTTTTAGTTTTGTTAGCCATATAAAATCTCTGTCACATTTTTCTTCTTGTTTTTTGGATTTTTTAATCAACTCTTTGAAAACATCAAAACCATTTTAAGCTCATGGGCCATATAAAAACAGGCATCAGGTCAGATTTGGCCCACAGGCCCTGGTTTGCAATGCCAGATCCAGAGAGGAAAGGGCCCTGGAGTTAGTCTCAGATGATCTGGGTTCTGACTGTGCCATTCCTTGGCTTTTTGACCTTACATACATCTTTTTACCCTGGGTCTCAGTTATCTCATCTGGATGATATAAATGATCTCTAGGGTCCCTATTCCTTTAGCACTTTCCAATTCTGTGATTCTGCTAGTTTCCTTAGTGGACATATGTTAGAGTTACCTGATTTTTTCTTTGCATGTTAGTGTGTAAACCACAGAAACTCATTTGGCACAAATGAAGCTCATTTAAAACTCATTTACTCCACCCTCGGTTACATTGTATTGTAAGTTATATTTATAGGTGCATATTCATTGTTAGATTTCACACGTGCTCATACCATCTGTCTTGTATCATTCCTGGTGGCAGAAATTGATAAAGGACTGCAAAGAGACCAGGGGCTGGGTATGAGAAGGAGAGGATCCCAAGATACCTCAGGTCTCTGAGTGGAGAAGTAAAGAACTGGCTGTGGAACTGGGGAAGGGGTGGTGGTGAATGACATGAAACCTGAGGTTTAGAAAGGGTTCCTAGCTTTTCCCGTCCCCTGGTTCTCACAGGGTTCAGAGGAAGAAGGAGAAGGGGAAGAGGAGGAAGAGGGGGAGTCTAAAACTGATGATCCCTCTGCTCACCTTAGCAAAAAGGAGAAGAAAAAGCTGAAGAAGCAGGTAAGATCTTGGTTCTTAGTGGTCAAAAGTAGGGGGTTTTGGTTTTTTATGCTTCAGTTAGGGAACGTGATTGGGGGACTGGAAGGAGAGCTTTAGGGACTCCAAGAGATTTTTTTCTGTGAATCTCGTCTCAGTGTCTGATGACATGGGGCTGTATCACAGTGACAGGAAACTGGCAGACCCTGATTTTATTTCTTTCTCAGATGGAGTATGAGCGCCAAGTGGCTTCATTAAAAGCAGCCACTGCTGCTGAAAATGACTTCTCCGTGTCCCAGGCGGAGGTGTCCTCCCGCCAAGCCATGTTAGAAAATGCATCTGACATCAAGGTGAGGTCTGAGGGGGCCCCTCCCAACTTGCTCTCCTAGGGAAGAACCAGTTCTCTCATCTTCCCTGATGGCCGTGGCAACTCAGGAAGTGGGACGTGAATGGGTTAGTCCACTGGGTAGAAAGCTTGGAGGCATTTTCCACACCTTCGGTTCTGGCAACTTGAGCAAGAAGATAGAAAAACCAGTAAAAATAGAGGGATTTGCCCATGAAGGGGAACAGTGTGGGACAGACTGGACTGGCTTAGGATGTGAGAGACTACCATTAGAGGCAGTGGACAGGGAGGAGGACTGGCTGTGGGGAGAGATGAGGGGTTATGCTGGAGGATAAGTTTGTCAGAGGCTTTCCTGCAGGGAGAAAGTTGCAGCTGCTGTCCCTAAAGGAGAATTCTGATGTGCTTGTCCCTTCCCTTTGCCACGCCTGCCCTGATGGCTACAGCTGGAGAAGTTCAGCATCTCGGCCCACGGCAAGGAGTTATTCGTCAATGCAGACCTGTACATTGTAGCCGGCCGCCGCTACGGGCTGGTGGGACCCAATGGGTGAGAGAGCAGGGCGCTGGAGGGAGAAGAAGAGGTTTCTCTGTGGTGGCCTGATCCTAATAGCTCTCATTCCCCAGGAAAGGCAAGACCACACTCCTCAAGCACATCGCCAACCGAGCCCTGAGCATCCCTCCCAACATTGATGTGTTGTTGTGTGAGCAGGGTGAGGCCAGTGGGTAGAAAGGGGGCTTGGTGGGTCAGCAGTTGGGGTAGAAGAGCCAGCCAAGAATAGAAGACATTGTGATTATGGAATTGGGAAGGAAGCGGGGGGAGATGGAGACTGGGAAAGGAACTCTGAAGATGGGAAAGAGTAAATAAGGGGCTTGGGAATGTTTTATTCGTAACAAGTGCAAAAGAGCTGGGCAGGGTTAGGCAAACCAGACATGGAATGGAAGGGAAGAAGGAATAAGACTGTCGGCCTTTGAGACTACCTGACTGTTGTCCCCCTGCCCTCCCAGAGGTGGTAGCGGATGAGACGCCAGCAGTGCAGGCTGTTCTTCGAGCTGACACCAAGCGATTGAAGCTGCTGGAAGAGGAGCGGTGGCTTCAGGGACGGCTGGAGCAGGGGGATGACACAGCTGCCGAGAGACTAGAGAAGGTAGAGGAGATGGCGCAGGGGACATAGGCTAAGACTTGGGGGTTCCTGGGGCCCTCAGACAAGAGTCCTCTTCTCCCTCCTCCCAGGTATATGAGGAATTGCGGGCTACTGGGGCAGCAGCTGCAGAGGCCAAAGCACGGCGGATCCTGGCTGGCCTGGGCTTCGACCCTGAAATGCAGAATCGGCCCACACAGAAGTTCTCAGGGGGCTGGCGCATGCGTGTCTCCCTGGCCAGGTGAGTCATTCACCTCACCACCCTCCCTTCCAATCTCAAACCCCCAGGGCCTTTTCCCTTCTCTTTCCTCCCCCTGACTCTATACTTGTGCTGACCCCCCTCTAGGGCACTGTTCATGGAGCCCACACTGCTGATGTTAGATGAGCCCACCAACCACCTGGACCTCAATGCTGTCATCTGGCTCAACAAGTGCGTTGCCCTTGATTATGGCCTTTGCATCATCGGTTCCCATTCCATGCTTCCTCCCCCTTCCCTCCCTGCCCTCATTTCCTCCAGCTCTTTTCTACTGTGCCCCCGACAGCTCTCTGTGCAGCCCTTCTCCTTTCCCTCCTTGCCCCTATTGTGTCTGCTTCCCCTGACCTGTCTCTTACTTGATCATTGTGATATTTTTGTACTCTCCTCTAAAACCCAGCTACCTCCAGGGCTGGCGGAAGACGTTGCTGATTGTCTCCCATGACCAGGGCTTCCTAGACGATGTCTGCACTGATATTATCCATCTCGATGCCCAGCGGCTTCATTACTATAGGGGCAATTACAGTAAGTAGGATTGTTTGTGGGTGGAAGAAAGAGCCTTGAGAAGAGGCCTGGGAGGCAGGGCCCATAAGGACATGGTGATAAGCTAAATCTTTTCAGAATTCTAGACAGTGATGTCTGCCCCCTTCTTCACCAGTCCTTGGTGGTTTCTCTGGCGGGGGAAGGAGCAACCATTGATGCCCCTCCCCATTTTCTGCCGCAGTGACTTTCAAGAAGATGTACCAGCAGAAGCAGAAAGAGCTGCTGAAGCAGTATGAGAAGCAGGAGAAAAAGCTGAAGGAGCTGAAGGCTGGTGGCAAGTCCACCAAGCAAGCTGTAAGCACCTGGGCAACTTCACGGGCTGGGGGCTGCTCTTCTCTTGTGACAGTGGAGAATGAGGGGGACTCTGAGACACCAGCCTACATTTCAAGGGCAGCTATACAGAGTGTGGATTTCTCTGTTTTTCTTCCTCTAGGAAAAGCAAACAAAGGAAGCTCTGACTCGAAAGCAGCAAAAATGCCGACGGAAAAACCAGGATGAGGAATCCCAGGAGGCCCCTGAGCTCCTGAAGCGCCCCAAGGAGTACACTGTGCGCTTCACTTTCCCCAACCCCCCGCCACTCAGCCCTCCTGTGCTGGGTCTGCACGGTGAGTGACTGCAGACCCCCAGCAGGACACGGCAGAAGCCTGAGCACCAGATCACCCAACGCCAGGACCCTTCCTTTTCTCTAAGACCAGAATATTCAGGGGGACCTTCGGGTTGACTGAAGAAAATATGAATTGCTTCTTTTCCTGTCTCTCAGGTGTTACATTTGGCTACGAGGGGCAGAAACCACTCTTTAAGAACCTGGACTTTGGCATTGACATGGACTCAAGGAGTGAGTTGGTGTTAGGTGGCTCAGGGCTGTGGAGCAGGAACCACAGGGAACGTTTCTGGGGGCCTCTTTGACCACCTGTCTTCCTTCTCGCAGTCTGCATCGTGGGCCCTAATGGCGTTGGGAAGAGCACACTGCTCCTGCTGCTGACTGGCAAGCTGACACCAGTGAGTCCTGGAGCCAAGCTGGGGAGAGCATGAAAAGTGTGAAGACACAGCTGTTCCCCAGAGGCCAGAATCAGGGAGCCCTCTCAGTGGTGCAGAGTTAAAAACAGAACTCATCAGAGATGATTCATGTCCCTGAGAGGGGCTGTACAGAAGGAGAAGAGTTTGCATCAGTTCAGGGAGCAGGGCTAGGAGAATTGGAGTTGGATTGGGTGCACCCCCCATCTATGTGTTGGTTATAAGAGAAATATATGTCTGTTGTAGAATGGCTAGAAATTGTACGAGCCAGAGAAAGATCTAGAGGTAACCAGTATTCATATTTTGGTGGATAGCTTTCTCCTTTTCCCTTTGAAAAAGTACATATCTTTTTTTTTTTTTTTTTTTTTTAAAAAAAGTGCACCCCCCATCTATGTGTTGGTTATAAGAGAAATATATGTCTGTTGTAGAATGGCTAGAAATTGTACGAGCCAGAGAAAGATCTAGAGGTAACCAGTATTCATATTTTGGTGGATAGCTTTCTCCTTTTCCCTTTGAAAAAGTACATATCTTTTTTTTTTTTTTTTTTTTTTGAAACAAAAGTGAGCTGTCATATGAATGTTCTGTAGCCAGCTTTGTCCAGATAATATGCATCAAGCATTTTTCCATGCTAATAATTATATGCATGCATTAATTTTATATGGATCTACTATAATTCATTGTTGTTAATCATTTAGAATTGCTTTTAGGATTTTTGCAGTATAAGGGTACTTCAAAAAGTTCATGGAAAAACAGAATTAAAAGATAATATGGGGCCGGCCCGGTGGCGCACTGCTATAGTGCGCCGCTTGGGAAGCGCGGTGGCGCTCCCGCCGAGGGTTCGGATCCCATGTGGAGACCGGTTCCCGCTCACTGGCTGAGCACGGTGCGGGCGCAACACCGAGGGTTGCGATCCTGTTACCGGTCAGTAAAAAAAGACAAAAAGGAAAAAAAAAAAAAAAAGAAAGGTGCTATTAGATTTTCCCCAAAACCATCTGTTAACTCCCCATCTCAGCAGAACCTGTACAGCATGAGTCTCAGTGTATGGCAAGTAGGTGTTCTTCGGTTGTGTTCAGTCCCTTCTGGTTGTCCTTCGGTTGTGTTCAGTCCCTTCTGGTTGTCCTTTTTGTCTCCCCTCCTTTATTCTTTTCTTTTAATTCCCCTTTTGCCCCTTACTCTTCTAATTCCCTGAGCATGCCTCTGTCATATTAGGGAGACCATCCATGTTCCCTTTCTCACACGTACTTGTTCCCACCCTATTTCTGGTATTTGTCTTTCCTTCAGAAAAGTTGGAATATGGGGCTGCAGGCCCTTTTCTCTTTTCCTACTCTTACCACTTGCTTTTTCCTTGCAGACCCATGGAGAGATGAGAAAGAACCACCGGCTGGTAGGTTGGCTTTGGGAATTAGGGAGTGAAATCTAATAGAGGAAATGTGACTTGTGCTGACCACCTCCCTCTCCTCTCGGGCAGAAAATTGGCTTTTTCAACCAGCAGTATGCAGAGCAGCTGCACATGGAGGAGACACCCACTGAGTACCTGCAGCGGGGCTTCAACCTGCCCTACCAGGATGCCCGCAAGTGCCTGGGACGCTTTGGCCTTGAGAGTCACGCCCACACCATCCAGATCTGCAAACTCTCTGGTACTACTGCAGAGGGCTGGGGGTGTACCTTCCTCATCATTCATATCTACACACTGTACCTAAAGGCAGAATGGTAGAGGAACCAGGAATAGGGGAGCCTCAGCACACACAGGCACAACTTTGGGGTTTATTTTCAGAAATATAAGGCAGTATTGTGTGTGATGGACCACCTTTTCCTTTGCTACAGGTGGGCAAAAAGCCCGAGTTGTCTTTGCAGAGCTGGCCTGTCGGGAGCCGGATGTCCTCATCTTGGTGAGTGAGCTGGGCTGTGGGAGAGGGATAAGGGTAAGAGTAATGGAAGGTAGGAGTTGAATGTTCAGTCATGGAATTCCTCCTCCTCCATAGGACGAGCCAACCAATAACTTGGACATAGAGTCTATTGATGCTCTGGGGGAGGCCATCAATGAATATAAGGGTGGTAAGTCAGCTGAGAAGATGCCCTCTTTCTCCTCTCCAAGCTGAAGTGTCCTTCAGCTGGGGCTCCCTTCCTCTGTGTTCTGATTCTCTTCTTCCCTCTTTTCCTGCCCTCTGTTCTCACTGTCTTTCTTCAAAGCTGTGATCGTCGTTAGCCATGATGCCCGACTCATCACAGAAACCAACTGCCAGCTGTGGGTGGTGGAGGAGCAGAGTGTTAGCCAAATCGATGGTGATTTTGAGGACTACAAGCGGGAAGTGTTGGAGGCGCTGGGTGAAGTCATGGTCAACCGACCCCGAGAGTGAACTCTCCTTCCTAGAAGTCTCCTGAGAGACAAGCTCATGTGGCCTACAAGTCATCTGTTGTCTCCCTTCCTCCACTTGGGAGAAAGAGCAGAGCCTGCCTCTGGTCTGCAGCTGACCCAGCAACCACCACTGGAACACATGAAGGTGGAGCGTTGCCTTGGTGTGACCAGGATACCACTTTGATTGCTTCCTTTTCTCTGAAAGACTTGTCTGTTCTGCTTTTATTCTGATAACTGAGCTGGCCTTATCCTTGACATCCCTCTCTACAAACAGAGGTGATCTTCATTATTGTGGGGTTTCATCCAGCCAAGCTTATGTGGCCTGTTGTCTTAAGAGTCATCACTCAGACACCTGTCTCTGGTCCATCTTAAGGCTTAAGGCCCAGCTGCCCACCTGGTCTTTGAGTGGTGCTGTTCTTTTCTGGTGGATTTAGTGGTGACTTACTGACACAAATATCCGTTGAAGCTCAGAGCTGTAGGCGAGTGTTTGAGACCTGTGCTGTTACCCAGCCCAAGATTTGGTGCCTGCAGTCTCTTGTCTGGTTGGGGACTTAGGGTCAGGAAAGGAATGCTGCTGAACTTGAATCTCCTTTTACAAGGGGAAGAAATAAAAGAGTTGCTGCCCGTCCTGTCACTGTTTGGAGATTCCTGGGAGTTGGAACTATTCTCATTCTTGATTTGCTTTATTCAATTTTCTAGCAGTTTTTAGTATCCTTTCTTTCCCACTAATACAGATGGATCTAATTGGCTGTCATACTGCACTTTAGATGGTGTTTGCTTTTTGAGGAGCCTACCTCCCCTCCCCCAACCCTTCAGACAAGGAAAAGGGAAAGTGACTCATTTCTTCCATCTTGGATACTTGGGTCTCTCACTGCCCAAACTAACCTCATGAATGAGGAAGTTCTATGCCTCGTGGTCAGGGACCAGAGGACTAATCCTCAAAAATCATTAAATCCAGCCAACTCAGATGTACAGTACTATGGGGTATACAAGAAGGAAAAGACAATATCTGCTTCATTAATAGTCTGCTTAAAGAAGATTTGAAAAATAAAAGCACGAGGGTAGTATAATATGATTAATTGACAAATACGTAGTACTCTAGATTCTATATCACCACATGTTCAAAACAGGGAAGGATTATTCAGGGCTTAGTTACTTGGCACAATCACTTGAGGGTGAACCTCGAAAAATAGTAAGGATTTGAATAATCAGGGAACAGGGAGCTATTTTTCAAAACTAGGAAAAGAACAGATCTAAAGCTTAGAAGGAAGAAGAAACTTACAGAGTTAATGAGTGAACATGGCTGGTGTGGTTGGGGAGATAGGTTTGGAAAGTAAAATACAGGGTTTTTTTTTATGGTATTTAGGTGGTGATGTGCAAGGTGGACTATAGAAACTTTTGGTATGGTGATGAGGTGACTAAATCCTGAACTAGCTTAGGAGAGAGGGATGGAAAGAAAAGGACAGATGGAAAGAGCTACATATGGGGATTGGGGAGCAAAGAGAATGATCAGGAGATGGATCCAGTTTCAGGGGGAATACGAAGAGCTATTTGGTTAAGACTTACTGTGTTGGGGCATGTAATTTTTGGAAATTATTTTCTGATCAAGTGAATAAATACTGTACCTTAAGCACAAGGTTCATACTGGAAACAAAGGTTTGGCATGGAGATAGTTGCACAGGTGCAGTCAGGGGATACTCTAAAGATAAACACCCGCTCTTAAGGAATTTGAGGGGGGAAAAATCAGGGTCTGTGCCAAGCAGCTGATTATGTTATATGTAAAGTAATTTCCACAGTTCTGTGGAGTACATCTATCTATTACAGAACAGTGGGAGCCAGGCTTCAAGTCCGCTCACTGGTGGTGTGACCTCAGACAAGCCACTTGGCCTCTTGGCCTCGTCTGTAAAATGAAGATGATAAAAAATACCTACCTCATAGGGTTATTAGGAGATTAGTTGTGTATTATTTGTAAAGTGCGTTACATTCTTTTACTTTTGTTGTATTTCATGTTACACTTTGCATTACACTTTAAATTTTCAGTTCACTAGTCTAGTTAAGATGATACATAAAATATATAGGAATGTTGTTTATAAAGTGAATATCAGAATTTGCATTTCAAGTTTTTGATCACTCATTTCACTACAAGTACTTCAGATGCTGCAAATTAACTTCCTTTCTTGGGCAGAATTTTATTTTTTCCTTCAATATACATACTATGTAATAGGATTATTAATTCACCTGAATATGGGCAAAACTATGCCCCTCCTCTAAAAAAGAGCAGCATAGAAATGAAACATAAGAGAAGGGCCGGCCTGGTGGCGCACTGGATAGTGCGCCACTTGGGAAGCGCGGCGGCGCTCCCACCCGAGGGTTCGGATCCCACATACAGACCGGTTCCCGCTCACTGGCTGAGCGAGGCGCGGGAGCAACGCCGAGGGTTGCAATCCCGTTGCTGGTCCCCGGTCCGGTACGGGGGCAACACTGAGGGTTGCGATCCGTTGCCAGACACGGAAAAAGACAAAAAAATGAGAGAGAAAAAAAAGAGAAAAAAATAACACTTCCATGGTCACATATGGGCAACCCAAAGCCTGAAAAAAATGGAATTTCATTAACAGAAGTAAGTCTTGTTATTCAGAAACTGAACTTTTATTACCTACAAGCCATCCACAAATATGTTACATAATGAGCACCATAGAAAGTTTTTCAAAAGTTGTGATTCTTCACACCTTCCTCACAAGGAAACTAAGACTAAAAGAACCACTAACCTGCCCAACGTCACCCAGCGTGCAGATAGGTAGAGCTGGGACCAAATGACCCTTGTTTATTTGACTGCAGTGTCCTAAAGTTTTCCTTTCTGATCTTTAGAATGTGGACAAGGTGATCAAAGGATGCACTCTAGAGGGGCACAATATCCAGGTTAGGACTTTTAGAAACACACAAGAGATGTTTTAGGGAAGACTCAGTCCGGCAGTGCAAAATGAGAAAACCAGGAAAGAGCCCTGTGGCCATATGGAACTCAATGGCAGCCTGGGAACATAAGAAGGTGCCCTTGTGTGGCCAGTGCTGAATGCAGCAACCAAGACACTTGAACTGAGTCTCTGAAGTGTCTCAGACCAGCAGCATCAGCATCACCTGGCACTCAGTGGTGCATTTGTAGTGTGTCAAAAGATACAAACATGGTACTGGGAAAGATGGTGGGGGTTACCTTTAGATTGAATGATTAAGGGAAATTAAAACCAAGGCCTGAAGGTGGAGAAGGAAGGAATCAAGTGAGTAGGAAAGAAGATCCTTCAGGGAAGGGACCAGAAAGTACAAAGGCCCTGAGGTTGGAAAGAGCTTGATATGGTCAAGGAATGTGGCTTGAGCTTAGAGCTTGAATAGGGGCCAGTACACATGGGCCTTAAAATAGGCCTTGATAGGGAATTGGGATGTGATTCTAGGATGTGTGGGAGGCAATTGGTGCTGTTTAAACAGGAGGGTGAGTTAATCTAGTTTCTCTTTTTACATCCAGCTCTGGCTGCTGGATGGAGAACAGTGGGGTAGGGGGAGATGGAGAGGAGATGCTAGGAGACAAGATTAGTATTTGGAAAGGAGATCCTTTTCTTCCTTTAAGAAAGAAAGGAAGATAATGTAGACATTTTCATGTGAAGGGAAGGGAAATGGTGCCCACAGTGGATGGAGCTCAGTCTCAGGAGTTGGTGCCAGAGAATCAACAGTTAAGTTTTCCAAGCAGCAGTAAGTGTTGAGCTGATGCTAATATTAATTGGTATTGGGCAAAGATAGTAAGATTCTGTGATTTTTCAACATTGTCTACTGCCCAGAAGCAAGAGAGAAATGGGGTGGTGATGATTTAGCATTGGACGTAGATGTGCGCCTGGGGAAGGGTTGACAAGAAGGGAAAGTCTGATGTCAAAAGGGTATTATGGAGGGAAAAATGGAAGCAAAAAGAAAGAACAGACTGAAACGGGAGAGAGGAAAGTGCCTGCAGGGCTTGGTGAAGAAACAAACTGGCCAATGGGTGTGGTGAAATGGATGAGTGCTCGTCCTTTCTCCCACTGCCAAAAAGAAAGATCTTTTCTTTATATAATTGTTACGTAAGTAAAGAGTAACAGGTCCTTTGGATTTTCATGGGGAATTTGAAAGAAAAATGGTCAAACTTTTGGGGGTTTTTTTTGTTTGTTTGTTTGTTTTGGCAGCTGTCCGGTAACGGGATCTGAACCCTGGACACCTTGGTTTTACCAGCACCACGCTTAAACTAAGTGAGCTAACTGGCCAGCCCTAGAACTCATTTTAAAAATTAAAATATATTAGAAACTTTAAGCTCTCTTTAAAGGTTCTTGTGGCCTGTTGCGAGAGATAAAGGGAAGGGAGTAAAAGCAGGCAGTAGATAGAAAGTTGTGACCACTAGGTTGTGACATGTTTGTTTGGCTTTTTCCACTTGAGCTGTGTATTTTTTGGTATTTCACCTCTTAGCTTGGTCCTCAGATTATGTCTTCTCAGGTCTTCCTCTCCCAGTGCTCAGAGCAATAGACCTGAACACTCCTGGCAAGACTGAGCAAAGGGAAGGGAAAACTAGCTCCACTGGCCTTACTAAATGTAATGAGGCCTGTGAGATGTAAAAAGTTGTTGCCCTCATGTGGCCAATGCTGGAAATAACAGCCAAGACACTTGTGTGCTAGGGCAGTATTCTCAGTGTTTTCAAGTCAGCAGCATCAGCAACACCTGGGAAACGAATCTTGGGATTCATCACAGAACTACTAAATCAAAAACTTTGGTAGCCCCCACTCCCAGTTTTTCTTCCTACAAGCCCTTCAGCTAATTCTGATGAACGCTAAAAGGTTTGAAAACCACCTTTCTCAAGCGACCCACATCCCAATGCATCTTGAGATCCCCACCCCAACAGCATAATATACTCCTAATTTCCGGTTTCAAACTTCCTAAAGTTAGTCCTGTCCCTCCATTTTTCTGGTCTCCAAAACCTGCCTCCCCAGCAATCTTATTTAAGACCTCAATTTATCCTTTTTTTTCCTTCTTTTTTGGTGTGGGGTGGGGTGGGGCCGCTGGCCGGTATGGGGAATTTATCCTTAAGAACTAAAGGGGCCGGCCCGTGGCTCACTCGGGAGAGTGTAGTGCTGATAACACCAAGGCCCCGGGTTCGGATCCCATATAGGGATGGCCAGTTAGCTCGCTGGGTGAGCGTGGTGCTGACAACACCAAGTCAAGGGTTAAGATCCCCTTACCGGTCTTTTGAAAAAAAAGAACTAAAGATAAGGGGCTGGCAGGTTAGCTTAGTTGGTTAGAGCACAACCTTGTAATGCCAAGGTCAAGGGTTTGGATCCTCATACAGACCAGCCAACGAGTTAATAAAAAGTCTTAGCCTACATCTTTTAGCAGCAGGCCTATTTTCCTCCCCTCTGCAGAGCCACTTTTTTGGGAAGAGCAGTCTTCTCTTTGTTTTACTTTCTCCACTGAAACTATTCTTTTTTAAAAAAGATGACCGGTAAGGGGATCTTAACCCTTGACTTGGTGTCAGCACCACGCTCTCCCAAGTGAGCTAACTGGCCATCCCTACATAGGGATCTGAACCCGTGGCCTTAGTGTTATCAGCACCACACTCTCCCAAGTGAGACATGGGCCGGCCCCTTGAAACTGCTCTTAAAATCAACAATGAGCAATCTTTGCCTCCTTCCTTCTCCAGAAACTGCTGTTGGATTTTCCTTCTTCAGCCACTCTCCCTGCTCCTTTCCTCCCCCACCCTCCACTCAAATTCCTTCCCTAAGCAGCTCCACGGGGATGCTAGGTTCAGCAAGAATTGGTATGCCCATACCAAGCGTGCAGCTTCAGCAGTCGAAATAGCTCTGCATGCCAAGGGCCCACTGCTTGAAGAATGTTGACCCATGGACTCTCCTCTGTATCTGCAGTGTTTTACATATTTTGCAAAATATTCCTTTAGTACTTAATTTAATACCAACTCTATGACTTGAAGGTAGCACAAATACTAGCTCCAAAGGACTAAAACACAGATTCCATAGTTTTGTACTAACAGCAGCTGATAATGGCTTTAAAAGACTCCAAACACACCAAGGGTTAAATAAGCTGCTTCTCTTTGCACTGTTTATTAATGTACAAAATATACAAAACCAAAAGAAAAAGAAAATCTCATCCTCAAATTCATTGTGGCTCTAACCCAAGACCCTGCACAAAACCCAACCAATCCACTGTTTTCACAGAAAACAACTGATGCCGGGACAGATGAAGGAGAGGACTGGGAAAGGGCAAAATCATCTGGCTGAATCCACCCAGGAAGGTACCTGTTGGGGATTCAGTGGTGGCTGATGGGGCAAGTTTGCTGGAAACCTCACACTGACAAGGTTCCAAGTGGGGACAAGGAGCAAGCTAACTCCCAAAGGCAGTGCATGTAGTGTGACTGTCAGGCCCAGCATGCTGGGCTTAAATTGTTGAAAAGCTGGTCTCACTGAACCGTACTTAGTAAGTCTCCAGAATGGCTGTAGGCAAAAGTGGACCACCACCACTGGCCTCACCTGTACCAGCTAAAACTTTCAATGGACGCAGATGTGAATTTGCCATCATTGGACCTAGCAGACCCATGGTGCAGACTTGGGTGTTAATAGAAGGCTTCAAAGTCTTACTTGAGAAAGGACTCAGAATGTAGAATCCGTGTTGAGGGAGGAGTGGGGATGATGTGTGTTCCAGAACTCAAATCCAGCCTGATTGAGCCCTCTCAGTGCAGTGGGATATACAATACCCCTTAAACCACCTCCCCACCCCATGAGGAATAATGAACTTGGCTGGGATGATTTCCTAAGTGCAGCTGATCCCATGTCAGTTCTGTGTGCTTGTGGAGGACCCACAATAGGAGAGTAGAGGTGTTCTCCAGGATAACCAGCTTTTGGTTCTCATACTTTAGGGTAATACTGGAAAGGGGTTTGGGATACAGGGTGAATCTCCTCAAAAAGTGAAGCCAACTGGGTCTCCTCTTCAAGCAGTCCAGGGTACAGAATGTGTCCAGTTTCTCTCCTCCCCAGACTGGAGGAAAATATGTACATCAATGCGCACCAGTGATCAGAAAACCCCCAGGAACCCAAGCAGGTGGGATCTGAAGGTGCCGGCTCCTCATCAGCTGGGAAAAGGGAAAAATGGGCCTCACAGAAGCCATAACAGGGCAAAGGAGCAAGGCTGCAGTCCATGGTGGGGGGTGTGGGGGGGGCAGGCAGGTGGTCCCTAGGGCAGGGGGGGCCCATTGACACCCGGGTGGTAGAAGGCACAGTTGTTCTCATAGCGGCAGTTGCCCTTCATCATGAAGTGTCGGCAGACAGGGCGGTTTGACATATCTGTGGGAATGACAGCAGAATGGTTAGACAGGAAACGGCTGAGAGATCAGTGCCACCACCCTCACCACCCAGGTCCACAGCACCCTGAGAATTATCTTTCAGAGATAGTTTTTGGGGATTTGGAGGAAGGGCAGAGAGCAGGAACTGCCATTTATACTGAGAAACCAAGGAGATGGGAAGACCTCATGTTCTGCCTGGCATACCCGGAATGGCGACTCTCCCCGACTCCCCAGAAGCTTGTACAGGACACCAAAAGCCATATGGGGGACAGGGAGCATATTCACCTCCTCCATGGCTGTGGCCTCCATCATGCCCTCGGTGGCCCCCTCCCCCGTGGCCAGGGCCATCATGACCACGGTGCTCATGAGGAGGTGGCCCTCGATGATCATGGCCTCGGTGACCAGGGACATCATGAGGCCGGTGGCCATGGGGCCCCCCATGTCCAGGGCCTTCATGGGGGCGATGTCCACTACTTCCACCCATGCTTCCGCCAGGGCCTTCGTGGGGACGATGTCCACTGCCCATGCCACCACCAGGACCTTCATGGGGGCGATGTCCACTGGCACCACCCATGCCACCGCCAGGGCCTTCATGGGGGCGATGTCCACTGCCCATGCCACTGCCAGGGCCTTCGTGGGGACGATGTCCACTGCCACTGCCCATGCCACTGCCAGGGCCTTCATGGGGACGATGTCCACTGCCACTGCCCATGCCTCCACCAGGGCCTTCATGGGGACGATGCCCACCACCTCCAACCATGCCTCCACCAGGGCCCCCTCGTCCATTTGGGGGTCCTCCTCCAGAACGACCTCCTCTGGCCCCTCGGAATGGAGGAGGAGGAGGAGGAGGAGGTTCATTTCCTCCTCGGCCACCTCGGCCTCTGTGGTATGGTCCAGGACCAGGTCCTGGACCCCCCCGCATTGGGCCACCCCGCATGGGGTCACCTGGGCCATCCCAAAAGGGATCACCCCCCCGGGGAGGGGGTGGGGGACCCAGGAGACGTGGACCCACTGGCCCACTAGGACCTCCATGGGGACCTATTAGGAAAAAGAAAAAGAGAAGGACAATATCAACTACCTGTTATACTCAGGAATTGCCATTTCCCAACCTAAACCACCTCCCACCTATAACAGATAAGCCCATTCCAACCTGTCACTTATCACCTACCTGGCATAGGCCCCCCAGGTCCAGGGGGGAAATGCTGCATGCCCTTGGGGCCCCCAGGGCCTCCTGGTGGGAAACCATTGGCTATTGGCCCAGGGCCTAGGAGTCCATGTGGCACTGTTAATGAAAAAAGGGGTCAGTCAGCAAGAGGAGAATGGCATGACTTCCCACTTAGGTGTGCCCAAGTGACCCTCTCAGACCAACCTGGCAGAGCAATGCTCTCTCTGTCCAGTTTTCTCCTCCCATTTCTTGCCTAGTGGCAAGAGCCCTGTCCTTCCCCCAACTCCACTGCAGGCTTCCTCCCCAAGACCCCTGGGGCTGGCCCTGAAGATTACCCAGCATCTGCTTGATCTTGTCTGAATAGTCTGGCTGTTTCAGCAGTTCCTCTGGAGGATGACTGTTTGGGCTACCCTGTGAGGATGTTAAGAGGGCAAAGTCAAGGGCAGAGAAAGGGAGAGCCAAAAATTATGAGGTAAGAGGGGAGATGCTGAGAACTGGGGTAAAGAGAATGTCAGAACAGAACACTTAGAGAGGATCCATAGGCAGCAGAAAAGGGGAAGGAGGACTCGTACCATGATAGAGGTGAGGATCTCCTGCACATTGATGCCTCCTCCTCCAGGGCCTTGGGGGCTTTTCCCAGCACCCATGCTTCCCATAAGATTGGCCAGAACAGGAGGCAACTTGGAGCCACCTGCCCCATCAGGTGAGCCACCTGCCACCCCAGGCTCCAGTGTCTCAACATATGGGGTCTCATCCATGGAACACTCCTGAAAGAAGAACAAGAAAAAAACCAGGACTGACTAAAAGAATGGAGAGGCATTCTTTTTTTTTTTTGTCTTTTTTCGTGTCCAGCAACGGATCGCAACCCTCAGTGTCGCGCCCGTACCGGACCGGGACCAGCAACGGGATCGCAACCCCTGGCGCTGCTCCCACACCTCGCTCAGCCAGTGAGCGGGAACCGGTCTGTATGTGGGATCCGAACCCTCGGCGGGAGCGCCGCC